GCCTCCTGGCGTCAATTCTTTGGCCGACAGTCCTTCGGACCACCCTGGTTCTCGCGCTCACGCCGACGTCCGGGGCCTCGCCTTTGCATTTCTCTTTCCTACCTTGACTGGCGGTTCGTTGGCCACGGCCACCCTGGTGCCCACGCAGTCGCTTGAGGTTCGGTATCATGCATTCTCTCTCGGAGTTGTCCCTGGCCGTCGTTTATCTTCCGACTTTTGGCGCCTCCGACGGACTTGCATTTTTGCACGCTGGCAGTTCCACTCAGTTTCAGTCCCTCCAGCCATCCACCTGCCGTTGGGCCGGCGCGTAGTTGTTGCCTTGCGCGTCGCCTCTGCCTAATTAGTCTCTGCGTAGCCCGCTCGGACCTGACTCGCCGCTGGCGCGCTCGCCCGCGGCCGCTGACTAAAAAAGTAGCTCCATCAGCCCATTCGGAAACGGTGCCCAGGCGAGTTGCCCTGATCAGGTGTGTGGGAGAGAGCACGCAGGGGATGAAGATCGGGGGTCGGGAAGCCGTCACACCCCAAGAGGGGGAGGATGGAGGAGGAACCAGAGGACGAGGAGGAGGAGCCAGATGAGGAGGAACCAGAGGAGGAGGAACCAGAGGAGGAGGAGCCAGTGGAGGAGGAACCAGAGGAGAAGGAACCAGAGGAGGAGGAACCAGAAGAGAAGAAACCAGCGGAGGAGGAGGAGGAGGTTGAGGAGGAGAAGGAGGAAGAAGAAGGGGGGAGGAGGAGGAGGAGGATGAGGAGGAGGAGGAGGAGAAAGAGGAAGAGGAGGAGGAAGAAGGAGGGGGAAGGAGGATGAGGAGGAGGACCCGAGTAAACCCAAGACTCACCAAGGATATTGCAATAAACCCTCCCTTTAAGCTCCCTGTTCATAGGCCCCTGCAAGGGTGTATTTTCACTGAGGGAAGAGCCCCATTGGAAGACAACTGCTTGGGAATCCAGATCTCTGCCAGAACATTCTTGGGAGTTCAACGCCTCGAATCACCGTCACTGATGCGAATCGACGATCCTGAATCGTGCCAGAACACCGTTCCTGGGAGTGCAACACCGCGAATCAAGGTAACTGGTGGCCCTGAATTTCAGACATCGTGCCACAAAAACAATTCTGGGACGTCGAGGAAACCCTTGAATTGGCGGTTAACTCTTACAACGAATGTGGGCGGCGTTAAGGCGAGACTCACATTTTGAAGGCAGCCCGCCATCTATTCGTGAAAGTGTGGCGAATTCGAAGCTGCTGCAGGTTCGTAAATGGTGAGGAAGTCTCAGGCGAAACGTCCGACCCACCCTACCGACGCGCCTCTGGGTGCGACAGGGAGTTATTAGCTACAATGAGAGGAAAGGGAGAAGCACTACCAACATGAACGAGTGCGCCGAGAGAGGACACGGGAAAAGGTGAGACGAATGGAAAAGAATAGCACGCGCAACTCGACAAGGAAGAGAGCCAGGCGGCGCGCACGACCAGCATCGAGCGGGCGGCCAGGCGAGAAATGCACGTTCGAGCACTACGCACGAGAAGAAAAGATGCGAGGCTGAAATGCGCAGGACGCCGAAGGGTGGCGAAGGAGCTGCAGCGACAGCTCCTGAGGAAAAACAGCCCTGGCATAATCGCCGCTGGACTTTGTCCTGCGGAGGGCAGGCCGAGGAGGAGGCAGGTCAAGGTCAGAGCCGTCGCCGCCCGACTCCGGGAAGTGTAACTTGCACCGAGCTCCTCGCTCGCACAGCGCGCAAACGATATCACAGTTGCGAAGGAGCTCCCAGGATTCAACAGCGATCTCCTGTGGCTGCCCGTTTGCGCACGAGGCCACCGGCACGGCGAAGAAAGCCGGCGGACGAGGAGAAGGAGGAAGAGGCGAGATCACAGCCAGGCGGCACGCCCGACTCCTCCCCTCCCCGCTCACCACCGCCCCAGCCGGAGCGGGGGTCGGCGGACAGGCCCCTCTCGCTGCCCCTCACGTCTTCCCGACTCGGCAGCGCGCCCCTCGGCGGCGTGCACGAGCCCTTGCCCCCGCGGAGGCAGGGGTCGGCAGCGAGGCCCCGCTCCCCCTCCCACGGCTCCGAGCCAGGGAGCGCGGCGGCGGCGGGGGCAGGCAGGCAGGAAGAGGAGGAGGGAGAAGGCGCCCCAAGGCTCTCACCTCCACGCTCGCTCGCTTCGGCCAGCGCCCTCAGACGGGATACTTGGGACGCAAGCTGCACGTAGCGCCTCGGGAGGTCCTGGAAAGCTTCGGCACGGTCCAGGAGGAACGCGCCCTCCGAGTGCACGTCATCGTCACCGCTCGTGAATGGAAGCACCGCGGCCGAGAGAACGATCAGACCGTGTTCCGTGCCATCGATCACATCGGTGTCACCTCGACCGAGCTCGCGGGCGCGCGCCGGCACCGAAGGCTGCGTCGCGAGGCACACTACCGGCGTGTAGACGACCACCTTCGGCACGATCAGGGGCGCGATGGCCTCTGGCGCAGCACCAGCATCATCGTCGCGAGGAACACCATCCACGAGTAGATGATCACCCTCGGCATGGTCAGCGACGCGAAAGCCTCCCTGCGAGCGAGAACGAGAAAGAACCCCATCTGCTTCAGCACGGACTGCGCCAGCACCGCGGACTCCACCATCAGCTGGAGCACCACGTAGGTCAGGAGCGCAAGGCACACCACCAGCGGCTTCTTCCCAACCGTCCGCGGTACGAGCATCGGCTGCACTAGAAGAATAAGGCGAAGGAGAAGACAAGGTACCGCTCGCCGATCTCGTATACCCGCTCCCAGAGGCGAGAAATGCACAGGCCGAAAGCGAAGAACTCGGCGCCGTCCCCCCTCCAGCGATTCCACCGCATGTGGTCACCAGGGCCAGCGCCGCCTCAGCCTCCATCGGCATCCGCGGATGGCCAAGGGACACGCGCCAAGGCAGCCTCGGCCTTCGCAGGGAAGGGGCTGCAGGAACCAGTCGAGCATGTAGCACTCCAGGAAGAAGCAGCAACCACAGCCTCGGTGCTAGCAGCGGCCTGACCACCAGCATCGGCACGGGGGGGAAGGTACGGGGTCACCTGGCTGCGCAGGGGCGTGCGGCCTGCAACGCCCTCGGCAGCGCGGTAGGCATCGATGACTTGGCCAACCAGCACTGCGCCCTCGGCGGCTGTCACCTCGCCCGCAAGGCTGTCGAAGAGCGGCTGCAACAGGCAACGTGTGCCGCAAGCAGCTGTCTGGGCATGGCATACCGCCACACGACGCGCCCGCGCCCGCCTTCGTGATGCCGAGGAAGAGGTCGCACAGCCAAGCAGGCGACACACGTCGGCATGTATGTTCACCAGGGCCCGCCCATCGGGCACCTGGCAGTGGGGGCCTGAGGAGGCGCCCGAGCGCGCGCCCGCGCGCAAGGGAGCCCAAGCGGCCACCTCAGGAGGAGGAGGAGGAGGAGGAGGAAGAGGAGGAGGAGAAGGAGGAAGAGGAGGAGGAGGAGGGGGTGATCTAGAACGCTGCGTGCTAGTTCATTAAAAGTCCGAGCAACGTCAAAACGGGGGGGGGAGAGGGAGGGGGAGGAGGAAGGAGGGAGAAGGGATAAGAGGATTATGGCGATAAGCAAGAGTAGGCTGGGAAGGAGGACGGAGGAGGAGGAGAGGAGGTGAGGATGATGTCGGATACTGACGCGGGGGCGTATGGGTGAAGGAGCGGGGGCTGACGGCAGGTGGAGGATATAGTAGGGAGGAGGAGGGCGAGCAGTAAGGCCACAGGCCTCTTGGATGCCTCTCGGAGTTTCTTCGTATGTCCCTCTTAGAGCCTCTTAGGGGGGTCTCGTGAAGCGTCGTTGGTGCCTCGGGGGAGCATTTCGGGGGTGTATTGGGAGTCGCTTTGGGGCCTCTTGGAGGCATCTTGGCGGCCCCTGGGGGCCTCCTGGGCGCCTCTTGGGGCACTCTTGGGTGCCTCGGGGTCCCTTTGGTGGCCACCTTGGATGAGATCGATCAAAGGAGGGACCGTAGTCAACTAGTGCCCCCCAGAGGCCAAGATGTGGCCAACATTTTAGCGAAATCCGTGATTTGCGCGTTCTCGCAGAGGCCGCTCTGGACGCTCTAACCTCTCGCCGCCCCCACCCCCCTCCAAACCCCAAACCCCTCTCCGACCTGGCGGGTTGGAAAAGGAAACGCGCTGAACCCGTCACGCCCAGAGGGCTGGTGGGATTAGCACCCCCCCAGGAGGTCAAAATGTGGCCAAAACCGTAGTAGCATGAATGTTGTTGGTTTTCTCGCCGAGGCCTCTTGGGGCATCTTGGGTGCCTCTGGGTGGCATGTGGGGCCTCTTGGGAATCTAATGGGGGCTTCTTGGCACTGTCGTGGGACACCATTGGGTGCAACGATGGCCATCTTGGAGGAGATCGATCAAAGGAGGGGGGCTCCTTAATGAAGGTCCCCCCAACCCAGGCGGTCAACTTAAACTATAGCCAAAACCTGAGTTACATAAATGAGTGTGGCTTCCTCATCGAAGCCGAGAAAGACCCTGTGACACCTCGTGGCCCCTCCCCTCCAGACCTCGGGAGAGTGGGCAAACAGGGAGAAGGGTAACGCCTCCCCGAATGGTAAGGGGGAAGACAGATCAGGAAATGCGGTAAACCACTCACGCCCAGATGGTTGGTGGGATTCCCCAGCGAGATACCGCGAGAAGCGATATGGAGGAGCAGTAGTGAAACAAAGAGGAAGGGGCACCAGTCGTAGTGTGTAGATTCTGTGTGTTGAACTGTTTGACACGCGTGTGTGCAGCGCCGGCGCTTGGGCTCGAGCAAAAGTGTGTGCCTCCCTCCCACGGCAGTTGCATCGGGGCGGGGGCGGCGATAGTGGCGATCGGCACTATCGATCGAGTTCGAGTGAGTGACGAACCCCAGGGTCCCACGGAGACGGCTGGGGATAAGTTCTGACGAGAACGAGGTTGGCAGCGGAGCGAGTGGTTGGCCCCACTGACTCCAGCAGAGACGACGAGCGGGACTAGCCATCCCATCGAGAGAAGTTTGTGGCCATGGCAAGTGACTACAACAACGCGGTGGATCCCAAGGTACCGGTGCTGAAGGGTGAGACGCTGCAGGATTTCACCCGGTACAAGCGCGCGGTGCAGGCCGCGGAGCTGAGCTGCGAGAGCGCAGAGCAGAAGAGAGCGCTCGGACCGAAGCTGTACCGCAACCTGCTGGGCGCGGATAACTCGATCAGCGTGCTGATCGAGCAGTCGGATCCTGTAGACTACGCGACCGAGGACGGCGCTCGAGTGCTGCTGAAGTTCCTAGAAGACCAGCGCTTCGCCAAGAGCAGCTTCAGAGAGCTGCCGAAGGCATTCGACCAGTTCTTCGACCAGACGCACTTCGAGCGCAAGGGTGAAGAGCCGATGGCAGCGTTCTGCACGGCGATGGAGGTAGCCAAGCGGAACCTCGAGGAGGTCGACCCGGACACGAAGATCAGTGCCAACGAGCTGGGCTACCACACGCTGAAGCGAAGCGGCTTGGACAGGGACGAGCGCAATTTAGTGATCGCCCGGGCGGAGGAGACGTTCGATTTCCAGAAGATCAGCATGACCTTGAAGAATCTCTTCCCCCGAGGCGGAGGCAAGCACCGAGAACGACAGGCTCGCGCCGGATGGCGCTGGGCGAACTACGCGGACGGCGATCCCACCGCGGACGAAGACGACACGGTCGACGAGTACTGGGTCCAGGACGACGACGGGTACTGGTACGAGTGGGACGAGGAGCGCGGCATCTACGCGGCCCTCGAGGACGACGACGACGAGTGGGACAACAGCGACCTGTTCTACATCGAGGACGGCGCGGACGCGTACCTCGCGAATGAGGACGACGACTACCACCAGGCCCTCGTCACGCTGCGCGAGAGCCGCTTCAAGATGAACAAGATCAGGGCGGCGCGCGGATTCTTCAAAGGCAAGATCGACGGAGTCGTGGACGAGAGTGCTGCGGCCGGCGGCAAGGCGGCCGGGAAGGGAAGCAAAGGCGGCGGCAAAGGCAAGGACAAAGGGAAGTCAAAGGATAAGAAGTGCGGCAACTGTGGCAGGATGGATCACGCTACGCAGGACTGCACGACGCCAAGAGCTTCCGGCCGACCGGCGAGCAAGGGCTTCAAGGGCCGCGGCAAGACGAGCAAGGCAGGACGTCCACGACGGCTGGGTTTCTGGGCCATGACGACGCTGGTGTGCGTCATGCCGGACCTGTTCAGCAACGGGGGTGTCGAGAGCCAGGAGGTCGCGATGGTGAAGGTCGAGGAGTCCACTGAGCACGACATCATGATGACCGACACCGAGAGCGACTACCACCTGCCCGACGTTCCCGAGGTCGACGTGATGATCTCGAGCGAGATCGTCTCGGCCTCCTTGCTGGACAGCGGGGCCACTGTGGCGGTGGCCGGGCGCGGCTGGCTGGACAAGCAGAAGACGGAGCTGGCGTAGTACGGCCTCGAGCCGATCATCGTGGACGCCGTCCAGAAGTTCAAGGGACTCGGCGGCGCACGACGCGAGGCCAAGAAGAAGTGGATCATGCCGATCGGGATCGGCAAGGTGCACGTGATCCAGGAGTACTTCGAGATCCCTGGCGACATGATCGGCCTGACGAGCAAGAAGAACCTGGCGGACTGGAAGACGAACCTCTACTTACGCGAGGACGGCCAGTGGGCCGACTTCGAGGAGCTGGGCCTGTACGACATGGAGCTGATGAAGCTGCCCGGAGGTCACGCGGGGATCGACATCCTCGACTTCGACCTGGAGTCGCACGAGGCGGACCCCCTGTTCGAGCAGTTCCGCATCAGGACCGAGAGCGTCCAGCACAGCGAGCCGGAGGTGTTCCTGGTGGCGGAGACGCTGCAGTCGGGGCCCGACTTCAAGCACCAGGACGACGCCGACCGGTGGGTCCAGGAGGCCATCAAGAACGGCAACAAGGGCATATTCAAGAAGAATACGCTCAAGAGGATCGACAGACTCATGAAGGAGTATGCGGTCATATTCGATGTGCTGCGCGACAATAACGAGACGTTTCTCTGGGGGCTGTTTGCGAAGGAGGCGCGTTTTACTCGTGTAGCTTCGAAGGGAGGTCACGCGAATGCGACCCCCTCGGATTTAACGACAGGTGTGAACTTCAACGACCCGAAGGTGCGATCGGATTTTCTGTTTTTGATCAGGATCTTTAAGCCCTGGATGGTTTCGGTCGCATTCCCGTGCACCGCCCACTCGAATATGCAAGAGTTTCAACGTGCTCAGGGCATGGGCGACCGGGTGGACGACCTGATCCAGGAGTTTGAGCCGCTGATCAGCTTCTCAGCGGAGGTGCTCCAGATACAAGCTGAAGGTGGACGCATCGGCATCGGCGAGAATCCTCTCACCAGCCGGGCGTGGCGGGAAGCACCGATCGCGAACCTGCTCAGCTGGCACGGTGACAAGCCACCGCTCTACGAGACGGTCACGCTGCACCAGTGCATGTACGGGCTCACGGACAGCTACGGCGACCCGATCCGCAAGCCGACGCGCATGATGGTGCCCAACGGCTCGTGCTTTTCCGACTGGCTCGAGCGCAAGTGCGACGGGAGCCACAAGCACGCCGACATGGTTGGGCGCAGCGCGGAGCTGGCACAGGCTAGCGCCTGGCCGGACGACCTGGGCAAGACCTTGGTGGCTGCGGGCACTCACGAGCTGGCGCGACGGAGCAGCCCGAAGGAGATGCGCATCGGGAGCAATACGACGAAGTCCCCGAGCAAGCAGGTGGTGAACGCTGTGGCTAAGGCGTTCAGGCTGAGGAAGGAGCTGATCGACGTGCGCGTACTGACGGGCACCGAGGAGATTACACCACCTCGTGGAGCTATACGGAGGATCTACGCGATGTACTCCGACGAGGGAGTGCTGGCGGACTACAGCGACGCCTACGCGGGCGACCAGGACTTCGCGACGGTCAAGACGGCTAAGCGGTTCCCGACGGACACGGTGATCGCGATCTACGTGAACGAGCCGAAGGTGCAGACGTCATACCCTGCGACGGTGCACATCTATGGGAGCAAGCCGAAGGCTTTCACTCCAGACGACCGCGAAGCTGACGAGGCACATCGAGACCTACAGCGAGAGGGCGAAGGCTTCGGAGACAAGCCTTCGGACATCACCACGGCCCAGTGGGGCGCGCTCAAGAAGCTCCACCTGAACCTGAGCCACCCTTCGGCTCACGCACTACAGCGACGCCTGAAGTCCTACGGGGTGTCGCAGAAGGTTCTGGACGCGGTGGACAAGCTGGACTGCGTCGTGTGCAAGGAGCTCGGCAGACCGACGACGACACGGAGCTCCAACCTGAAGCTCTCGACGGAGTTCAACCAGAACGTGTTCTTGGACGAGGCCGAGGTGATCCTCTCGGACGGGACCAGGCTGATGGTCATGGTGATCCTGGACGATGCCTCGGGTTTCAGGGTCATCATCCCTACAAAAGCGGTGAGGTCCATCACCGGAGAGGAGAGCTTGCGATGCTTTTCGCAAGGTTGGTTGTCGTGGGCTGGTGCGCCTAAGGTGCTCTACTACGACGCGGCCAAGGGCCACATCACGAAGCGGTTCGTGGAGGTCGGCGACAAGTACAACATCCTGATGAGGCCGGTCCCAGCAGAGGCGCCACAGCTGAAAGGTCGAGTGGAGCGAGCGATCGACTTCTTCAAGGACCACTTCCAGCGCCTCAACCGCGACGTGCAGCTCACTAAGGACGACGACCCGCACGTGTGGACAGCGGTGATCGCTAGCACGTGCAACGATCATATTCGGCGGAACGGCTTCACACCAAACCAGTACGTGCTGGGCAAGTCGCCCGGGGTTCCGGCCTCGCTGATCGAGGCGATGGAGGGCGACCAGCGGCAACTGGCAGCACAGAGTGCAGCGCTCTTCGAGGACGGACCGAGAAGGGCAGAACAGATACGCGCTGCGGCGAACCGGGCGTTCTTCGAGCTGGATAGCGACGACGCCGTCAGGAGGGCCATGGTCGGCCGCGTTCGCCCGCCGCGCGGGCCGTTCGTACCGGGCCAGCTGGTATACTACTGGCGCGAGGTGAAGCACGTGAAGTCGAAGAGGCTCCAGGGCGAGCACGGCTGGCGTGGACCCGCGATCGTGTTGGCCACCGAGGGCCACACGAGGCTGCATCTCAGCTATCGCGGCGTGCCAGTGCTCGTGACGCCGGAGCAGGTACGACACGCCTCGCGGAACGAGGCGGAGATGGTGGAGAACGAGGACCTGGTCAGGCAGCTATCCCACTGGCGTGGAGGACCGACTCTACAGAAGGGGTTCATCGATGAGCGTGGACCTGGGCCTGACGGGAGCGACAAGACGGGCGTGCGCCGCGAGAGGGACGAGAAGGACTCGGACCACGAGGACGACGCGGGCGACCCGCCTGTGGCTAAGGCGCCGCGCGCCGAGCCAGCACCACCACCACCGAAGCCGGTGATCGAGGCGACGCCGAAGAAGCAGCCCAAGGAGGAGGACGTACCTACACCTGGAGACCTACCCGAAGTACCACCACTACCGGGAGGAGGACCTGCTCCTCCGGATCAACCTGCCGACCCACTTGCTGAGGCAGCTGGGCCGGGGCAATCTATGGACCTGGACGCTACTACTGCGCCAGGCACTCCGCATCAACATCAACAGCAACAACAACCAGATCGAGCTGAGCAGCCAGAGCCTGCACCACGACTTAGCTTCAAGCGGACGCTTCCAGACGATCAGGATGCAGATCGCGAACGCATGCGACTACGACGCGAAGCTCTAAAGAACAGCTCCATGCGGCTGCCGAAGATCAAGGACGACCCGACGGACCAGGACGCCCTGCTCATCAAGGTCAAGAACCGCACGAGGGACGCGTTCCTAGCTCGGAGGACCGACACGCAGAAGAAGCAGGTCACGCCCAAGAAGGGCCGGGAGCTACGCAGCATCCCACCTGAGTGGAAGGCGGCCTTCGACGCGAGCGACCTGGAAGAGTGGCGCAAGTGGGTCGAGTACGACGCCGTGGAGTGGCCCACTGACGAGGAGCTCGCGGGAGTCGACCAGTCGGCGATCCTGCCCATGAGGCGCGTCCGCACGGACAAGAACGAGGCGACGAGAGGCAACTTGTCGTACGAGCAGCATCCGCTCAAGGCGAAGTCCAGGAACATCGTCCCGGGCTATAAGGACAAGCAGCTGCTCGCGGGGGAGTTGAAGACCAACGCTCCAACGCTGACGGACGTGGCCACGGCGGTGATCGTGCAGGAGGCGGCCAGCCAGGAGGGCTGGAGGCTGGAGCAAGGCGACGTCGACTCGGCGTTCTTGAACGGGAAGTACCTCGACGACTCTCGGCGCGTGTACTTTCGTGCGCCGAAAGGCGGACTGCCGGCGGTGCCCGAGTTGGGCTGGCCAGCGGTTCCCGAGGGGACGGTGCTGAAAGCGAAGAAGGGCATCTACGGGCTGAACGACGCACCACTGCTGTGGTACGAGGAGCATCGAGATACCATACTGTCCCTGCCCGGTGCATCAAAGTCGAAGCTGTGCCCGGCTCTCTTCATCTTCCACGATGAGCACGGGAAGCTGATCGGCCTGATCGGGACGCATGTGGACGACGATTTGGTAGCGGGCTCGCCCGAGTTCTTCGCTAACCAGGTGGCCAAGCTGAGGAAGATTCACTGTTGCGGCAAGTGGCAGACGGCGAAGGCCGGCTTCCATCATTGCGGGCGCTTCCTCAAGCAGAACGACGATGGCACCATCACTTGCAGCCAGAAGGAGTACACCGAGAGCATCGAGAAGATACCGATCTCGAGCGAGCGTCGCAAGGACAAGGAGGCGAAGGCTACTGCTGAGGAGAGGGCGATGCTCCACAGTGGCAATGGCCAGATCCAGTGGCTGGTGCGGTCGACCCGCATGGACTTGGCGTTCCGGCTGGTGGAAAGCCAGGCCAGGGCTCACGACAGCGACCTGAAGGTTCAGGACCTGCTGGATTTCAACAAGCTGGTGAGTGACGCCAAGACGGACCACGTGGACATCACCTTTCAGAAGATCAACATAGACGACGCGATCGTGGTTGCAGTTGGAGATTCTAGCCATGGCAACGTGGGCAAGACGAAGACCGCTAGCCAGGCGGGCTTGGTCATCCTGCTCGCGGACAACAAGGACGACAAGTTCCTGCAGGGTAGACCGGCCAAGGTCACACCCATGCTGTGGCGATCACACCGCATCAAGCGAGTGGTCCGCAGCACCCTCTCTGCCGAGACGATGGCGGCGCTGGAGGCGGTCGAGAGCGGGGACATGCTGAGGCAGCACCTGGTGGAGCTGCACTACGGGCTCGGCTACCGGACTCACATGGAGGACGTGAAGGCCATCAAGATGGTGGAGGTCACGGACTGCAAGTCGCTCTACGACCTACTCCAGAAGCGAGGGACGGTACCCTCCGAGAGGCGGCTGCTGATCGACATCGAGGCGCTCAGGAATGACTTGGAGTTCAACAACGTGGTGAGCAAGTGGGTGAACACAAAGCAGATGCTCGCCGACTGCCTCACCAAGAACGACGTGCGCGCTGGCGACTACATGAGGTACGTGCTCCAGACCGGCGAGTACCGGCTCACCGAGGACCTCATGGCCGACCAGATCATAGCCAAGCAGAGGATGGAGCTCAAGGGACGCAGGGGCGAGTACTACCGCGCGAAGTACCCCAAGAGACTGCGACCTGCCGAACAACACTACGTTCACGAAGGCTACACTTACTTCGAGGAGTGCATCGCGGACGTTCGGTACAACGCGCGTGTGCTACAGCCTGCTCCGAAGCCATACCTCCGATGGCGTATGACACTCGGCCAGCGCGAGGACGACGTCTACTACGAGAAGCTTGAGGAGATGGTCGACTGGTCTGGCCTGGACCAGGTGTCGAAGCGCAGGAGGATCCCCACGCAGATTCGGAAGCTGCTGACGATCTATGCGCCGACCAAGGCCGCCCTCGAGCGCTACGAGAAGGACTTCACGGAGAAGCACGTTATCAAGAAGCCGAAGGTGACCGACGAGGGCGACATGCAGGACAAGCTGGACGTTACCGAGGATCTTGGTGCGATCGTGGAGTCGGCCGAGACGGTGAAGGTGGACGGCACCAACGAGGTCGCGGAGATCTACATGATGGACGCTGCGGGTGCCGAGACCGAGGAGGTCAAGTCAGGCGCCGCCGCGGCCGCGACGGTGGTTGTGTGCGCAGTGTGTCGCATGGTGGTGGACCAGTGCGAGTGTGGACCGCGAACCCGCAAGAAGGCCAACCAGCGATCATCGTGCTCAACACATCCAGGAGAGCTACCGCCAGTACCAGGTGACGACGATGAAGGCGGCGATGACGCCGGTGACTGGGAAAAGCTACCACACCGACTCTACCAGGAGCGGCAGAAGTCTACGACACCGACGAAGAAGGCCATGATGAAGGCACGCGCGTTGCACGAGAAGACCAAGCACGCATCCTACATGCAGATCGAGGAGGACTTCGGCGAAGTGCTGGAGGAAGGTGTCCTGGAGGCGTACGAGGTGGTCGTCAATAACTGCGCCGTGTGCCGGAAGGACAAGAAGATCTACGACACAGTGCAACGCGGAATCAATAACAAGGAGTTCTGGATGGACGGGTCCGGCAGCAGCCACAAGGGGAAGAGCCAGGGCAAGACCGACCCCAGCTCAGACCACTGCGAGCACCCGAAGGAGAAGCTCACGACCCGAGGGAGCAACCAGTACAAGGACAAGCTGAGGTGCATGCAGTGTGGCTCACTGCTGGTGGACACCGACACCGACTGGTGGCGACAGGAGAAGGAGTATCGTGCCCAGGAGAAGCTCCTCCGTGCTGAGAAGGAGAAGCAGGTGCAAGCTGAGATGAGGGCCATCCGCTTGCGTGACATGTACCAGAAGGCCTCTGGCGAGACCAGGGCGGCCTCTGGCGAGACTAGGGCGACTTCCGCCCAGGGCACGAGCTCGACATCTCCGACGTGAGCTACCACGTGGAGAACTACCACACTGCCATTTTGGCAAGCACGGGCATCCTCGCGGTTTGCGACGACGCCTGCCTTTTGCTGTTGAACTGAGGGCTATGCCCGGCGCCCGCCTGCCGCGAGCCACGCTTAGTCAAAGAAAATAACACGAGTGTAGATTCTGTGTGTTGAACTGTTTGACACGCGTGTGTGCAGCGCCGGCGCTTGGGCTCGAGCAAAAGTGTGTGCCTCCCTCCCACGGCAGTTGCATCGGGGCGGGGGCGGCGATAGTGGCGATCGGCACTATCGATCGAGTTCGAGTGAGTGACGAACCCCAGGGTCCCACGGAGACGGCTGGGGATAAGTTCTGACGAGAACGAGGTAGTGGGTCTTCCGTCTCTACATGTGCGTTCGAGCATGACCGCCAGTGCTGGAGAAGAAGCGCACCGCCGATCTAGCGGAGCATGGTTGCGGCATGCATTGTTGTTTCCCACATGTTTCGTGGGGTTATGGTTTTACTCCCTGCCGCGCCGCACCCGCGACACTCACATCACTTCGTGGGGTTATGGTTTTCTTCCCTGTCGCGCCGCACCAGAGGGGGTGCGCAGGGGGTGGTCTCCCTATGCGTGCCAGGGTCGTTCAGGCATAGCAGGCGTGGCAGTTTCTCGACACCAGAGGGGGTGCGCAGGGGGTGGTCTCCCTATGCGTGCCAGGGTCGTCCAGGCACGGCAGGCGTGGCATTTTCTCGACACCAGAGGGGGTGCGCAGGGGGTGGTCTCCCTATGGTGCCAGCCGTCCAGGCATAGCAGGCGTGGCATTTTCTCGACACCAGAGGGGGTGCGCAGGGGGTGGTCTCCCTATGCGCGCCAGGGTCGTCCAGGCATAGCAGGCGTGGCATTTTCTCGACACCAGAGGGGCTGCGCAGGGGGTGGTCTCCCTATGCGCGCCAGGGTCGTCCAGGCTTAGCAGGCGTGGCATTTTCTCGACACCAGAAGGGGGTGCGCAGGGGGTGGTCTCCCTATGCGTGCCAGGGTCGTCCAGGCATAGCAGGCGTGGCATTTTCTCGACACCAGAGGGGGTGCGCAGGGGGTGGTCTCCCTATGCGTGCCAGGGTCGTCCAGGCATTGCAGGCGTGGCAGTTTCTCGACACCAGAGGGAGTGCGCAGGGGGTGGTCTCCCTATGCGTGCCAGGGTCGTCCAGGCATAGCAGGCGTGGCATTTTCTCGACACCAGAGGGGGTGCGCAGGGGGTGGTCTCCCTATGCGCGCCAGGGTCGTCCAGGCATAGCAGGCGTGGCATTTTCTCGACACCAGAGGGGGTGCGCAGGGGGTGGTCTCCCTATGCGTGCCAGGGTCGTCCAGGCATAGCAGGCGTGGCATTTTCTCGACACCAGAGGGGGTGCGCAGGGGGTGGTCTCCCTATGCGTGCCAGGGTCGTCCAGGCATTGCAGGCGTGGCATTTTCTCGACACCAGAGGGAGTGCGCAGAGGGTGGTCTCCCTATGCGTGCCAGGGTCGTCCAGGCATTGCAGGCGTGGCATTTTCTCGACACCAGAGGGGGTGCGCAGGGGGTGGTCTCCCTATGCGCGCCAGGGTCGTCCAGGCATTGCAGGCGTGGCATTTTCTCGACACCGGAGGGGGTGCGCAGGGGGTGGTCTCCCTATGCGTGCCAGGGTCGTCCAGGCATTGCAGGCGTGGTATCTTTTTTTTTTTTTTTTTATTTTTTCCCGACACCAGAGGGGGTGCGCAGGGGGTGGTCTCCCTATGCGCGCCTGGGTCGCCAGGCATCGCAGGCGGGCATTTTATCGACACCAGAGGGGGTGCGCAGGGGGTGTTCTCCCTATGAGTGCCAGGTCGTCCAGGAATTGCAGGCGTGGCATTTTCTCGGACACAGAGGGGGTGCGAGGCAGGGGGTGGGTTCTCCTATGCGTGCCAGGGTCGTTCCAGCATAGCAGGCGTGGCATTTTCTCGAACCAGAGGGGCGTGCGCAGGGGGGTTGGTCTCCCTATCGTGCCAGGGGTCGTCCAGGCATAGCAGGCGTGGCATTTTTCTCGACAACAGAGGGGGGTGCGCTAGGGGGTGGGTCTACCTATGCGTGCCAGGGTCGTCCAGGCATAGCAGGCGTGGCAGTTTCTCGACACCAGAGGGGGTGCGCAGGGGGTGGTCTCCCTATGCGCGCCAGGGTCGTCCAAGCATAGCAGGCGTGGCATTTTCTCGACACCAGAGGGGGTGCGCAGGGGGTGGTCTCCCTATGCGTGCCAGGGTCGTCCAGGCATAGCAGGCGTGGCAGTTTCTCGACACCAGAGGGGGTGCGCAGGGGGTGGTCTCCCTATGCGTGCCAGGGTCTTCCAGGCATAGCAGGCGTGGCATTTTCTCGACACCAGAGGGGGTGCGCAGGGGGTGGTCTCCCTATGCGTGCCAGGGTCGTCCAGGCATAGCCTCTAGTGCGGGATTGCGTATTACCTCTTGTATCCAAGTGCCAGGCGACGCCGGATATGACCGTCACAGATGACTCCTCAACCCCTCCTCTCCCCCCACACGTCCTCCCCCTCCTTTCAACGACCACAGGGGGCACCTGAGAGCGTGACGGCGGTGGTAGTGGAAGCGCGGTTCACACAAGACATAAAATCAGTATGTGGGGTTCCTCGGTAGCGTAATTTCGAAGGGGGGGAGGAAACCGACCTGCGATTGCCGCCGATCGTCGACGGGAAGCAATCACGACGCGGACAGACATTTCCGAAATTCCGCACGGAATTCGCGTGAAACACAAATTCTCTCCTTCCCACTCGTCCTCCTCCTCCTGCTCCTCCTCCTTCCTCTTCTCCTCCTCTTCCAGCCGAGTCCATCGTTGCACCCCCTCTCCCCCTGTTCGTGCTGCTCTCCGAACTCCCCCTTTTCCCGCATCCGCATGATCCCCCTTATCCTCACCCCCCTCCTCTTCCTCCTCCCCCTCCTCCTGCTTCTCCTCCTCCTTCTCTTCCTCCTCCTTTTTCCTTCTTCCTCACGCCATCGCAGGGCTCGACCTTAATAGTGCTTTGGTAATTTCGATGGCCGTTATGTTGTGCTTTGTTTGTTACTGCTTCGTCGCAAAGGCAGAGCGAAGCCCGATTGAGGGACACCAAACACAACACGAGCACAGAACATACTGTTCAGGTCGAGCCCTGCCCCAGCCTCCTCGCCCGTCCTCCCCCTTCCCCCCATGCCTCCCGCAGTTCTGGCGCTGCGAGCTGCGTCGCCCAGCGAGTCGTTCGACGAGCCCCGCCGGCCTGGCGAGACGGACGACGGGGAAGGCCCCCCCACCCCCTGTGGACGGAGGGGCAGGCGGACGAGGTGCCCGGCAACCGCGAGGCAGGCAGGTGGGCGAGGAGGCGGAGGAGGAGGAGGAGGATGAGGCAGAGGGCAGAAGATCGTGGAGGGGAGGAGGAGGGGGAGGAGGAGGAGGAGGAGGAGGAGGAGGAGGAGGAGGAGGAGGAGGAGGAGGAGAGAGGAGAGGAGAGGAGGAGGAGGAGGAGGAGGAAGGAGGAGGAGGAGGAGGAGGAGGAGGAGGAGGAGGAGGAGGAGGAGCAGGAGGAAGAGGAGGAGGAGGAAGATGAGGAGGTGGAGATAAGGAGAGGAGGAGGAGGAGGAGGAGGAGGAGGAGGAGGAGGAGGAGCCTGGAACCACGAGGATCAGAGGCATAAATAACAAGAGGGGGATCGGGGGGGGCGTCTGCCCCCACGGGAACGCATCTGCTGCCTGTACGGGGGCAGGCGCTGCGTCCACTGCGGGATGCATCTGCGACCACCCGGGAGGCTGCTGCGTCCATTGCGGAAGCACCGGGGCAACGAGGGGGGACGTTGAGCCCACAGGGGATCAGCATCGTCCAGCCGATGCCCACCGTGATTGGGCCGTGGCATCGCAGCCCTACCTGGCCCCAACCCCACCATCGCAAGGTGGGGGCAGGAGGGGATCAGCATCGTCCAGCCAATGCCCACCGTGACTGGGCCGTGGTATCTCAGCCGAACCTGGGCCCCACCCTACCTTGTCAAGGTGGAGCAGGGCTCGACAAACCCGGACGGAGCAGCATACATGATCCAGGGTCGAGGGTTCATGGAACCACCCGCCAGATGAGCTTGCCCCAAGGATCAGGCTCCCCCTCTGATGGTATGGGGACGACGACGGTGACGACAACGGCGGCGACGACGACGATGACGACGAACCACAGGGGGGCTACCCATCCAGCAGGGGAGGGGGGTCGATCCTAGTAGCGTTGGAGGAGGGTTTGGTGCCCGGAGCCCTGGATCATGTATCCCCGCGGGAGGCGAGTCTGCCAGTGGGGCCAAGGCCACGCCAGCAGGGGTGGGCATCTGTCAAACGATGCGCAGGGGAGGACGGAAGCTGGGTCACCCGCATAAAGTGGGAGCCGCGAAGGTCAACGCGTTGCTTCGCTCGTCGCGTGGGGGGCGAAGCGCGAGGATGGCGAGCAGCGGAGAGACGAGCAGGAGGAGGAGGAGGAAGAGGAAGAGAAAAGGATGAGGAGGAAGATGAGGAGGGGGGAGAGAAGGTATAGAGGAGGAGGAGGAGAGGAGGAGGAGGAGGAGGAGGAGGAGGAGGAGCGGAGGAGGAGGAGGAGGAGGAGGAGGAGGAGAGGAGGGGGAGGGGGAGGAGGAGGAGGAGGAGGAGGAGGAGGAGGAGGAGGAGGAGGAGGAGGAGGAGGAGGAGGAGGAGGAGAAGGAGGTGGAGACGGACGCGGGAACAGGCGGAGCACGTCGGTGGAGAGGGCGCAGACAAGGGCCAATAGAAGACCGTGGAGGGGGCCGCGGGTGAAGGCGACGACGTTGACGAGCCGGAAGAAGAACGGGCGGGGGGGGGTCTTCTCGTCACCCCTCGCGCTCGAGGCGAGGACGTCGATTTGAGCAGGCTCGGGACGTTGCGGTTCGCTTTCGACGTGATCCACCAGGGGATGAATTGCGAGAGCTCCACTGCGTTGGAGCTCACGAGGGAACTGCAGCAGTGGGTCGAGGAGAATGAAGGCGCCGCTGGGCGGGCGGATCTGTAACTACGTATCTGCGCTTACGAAATTGTTGTTTGCCGCCGTCTCTGTGGTTGGGTGTTTATCGTTGCGATCGAAGCGCCTCGACCAAGCTGTCAGCGTGGTGCCCAGGTGTGGGCTCAGTCTTGTATCCTAAACATGGGGCTCAGTCGTGAGTGCCACTCCATGAGTGCCACGTCCCCCGCCGTACCCGCCTCTTTTCTTTGCCAATCAGACATTTGTACTCAGAGGGCAAAGGCTCACCCATATTCACTGATACTCACCTTAGTCGATCGCAGAGTTGTACACACAGACCGCGAATGTTCATATCAGCTAAAACTTCCCCCCCGTAGGGCACGTTGTCCGAATCCTGCAAGTGTTACCAACATTTACATATTCGTATCGTATCGGGTGGTCTTGAACTCCGTTCCTTTCCTCTCTGCCAACCCCTTCCCCGTTTCTGTTGATCCTCCTCCATCTCCCACCCGTTCCTGGCGGGACGCCTTCCTGTGCGCGCGAGCTGGACAGAGAGTGCATGGGTGAACAAGAGGAGAAGCGGGGATGAGGAGGGGGGGGGAGATAGGCGACCGGGGCTGATCGCAACCACTTCTGCCCGATCGCAACCACATTGGGGCGGATCACAAACGTTTGCGATCTGGACGAAGTGGTTGCAATGTTTTGGGGTCGCTGCCAAATTTGTCTGATTAGCAGACGCTTTCCAACAGAGCTTCTGGAATGAGTGGGGTGTCTTCAAGTTCACCGATGGAAGATTGACAAAATGGTTGAAATTTGGCTGATCGCACGTAGTAGTTGTAGTAGTAGCGGTAGTAGTAGTAGTGGTAGTAGTAGTAGTAGTAGTAGTAGTAGTAGTAGTAGTAGTCGTAGTAGTAGTAGTAGTGGTCGTAGTAGTAGTAGTCGTAGTAGTAGTAGTAGTAGTAGTAGTAGTAGTAGTAGTAGTAGTAGTAGTAGTAGTAGTAGTAGTAGTTTGTAGTTGTAGTTGTAGTTGTAGTTGTAGTTGTAGTAGTATAGTAGTAGTAGTAGTAGCAGCAGCAGCAGCAGCAGCAGCAGCGCAGCAGTAGTAGTAGTAGTAGTAGTAGTCGTAGTAGTAGTAGTCGTAGTAGTAGTAGTAAGTAGTAGTAGTAGTAGTGGTGGGTGGTGGTAGTGGTGGTGGTGGTGGTGGTGGTGGTAGTAGTAGTCGTAGTAGTCGTAGTAGTAGTAGAAGTGGTGGTGGTAGTTGTAGCAGTGAGAGTACGAATAGTAGTAGTAGTAGTAATAGTGGCAGTAGTAGTAGTAGCAGCAGTCGTAGTAGAAGTAGAAATATGTGTAGTAGCAGTAGTCGCAGTAGTCGTAGTCGTAGTAGTAGTACTGGTAGTCGTAGTAGTAGAACAAATAGTAGTACGAGTACGAACAGTACAAGTAGTAGTAGTAGTAGTAGTAGTAGTAGTAGTAGAAGTAGTCGTAATAGTAGTTGTTATTGATATGTTTGGTAGTAGTGGTAGTAGTAGCAGCAGTCGTAGTAGTAGTAGTAGTAGTAGTAGTAGTAGTAGTAGTGGTAGTAGCCATAGTGGTAAGAAATGTATTAGTAGTGGGGTTAGTACTAGTAGTAGTAGTAGTAGTAGTAGTAGTAGTAGTAGTAGTAGTAGTAGCAGTAGTAGTAGTACTAGAAGTAGAAGAAGTAGTAGTAGTAGTAGTAGTAGTAGTAGTAGTAGTAGTAGTAGTAGTAGTGGTAGTAGTCGTAGTATTACTAGTAGTAGTAGTAGTAGTAGTAGTAGTAGTAGTAGCAGCAGTAGTAGTAGTAGTAGTACTGGCAGTAGTAATCGGAGTAGTTTGAGTAGTAGTAGTAGTAGTAGCAGCAGTAGTAGTAGTAGTAGTGATAATAGTAGCAGTCGTAGCCGTGGTCGTAGTAGTGGTAGTAGATGTTTTCGTCGTAGAAGTAGTAGTAGTAGTAGTAGTAGCAGTAGATGTATCAGTAGTGCTGGTAGTAGTGATCGCAGTAGTACTTGGAGTAGTAGTCATCGTAGCGGTGGTGGTGGTGTTATTAGTAGTGCTAATGCAAGAAGTAGTAGTAGTAGTAGTAGTAGTACTACTACTCATCGTACAATTTGTGGTCTTCGTAATATAGAAGTACTCGTATCAGTAGTAGTAGTCGAAGTAGTTGTCGTAGTAGTAGTAGTAGTAGTAGTAGTAGTCGTCGTTGAAGTAGTAGTAGCTGTAGTAGTAGTAGTAGTAGTAGTAGGTGTGGTAGGAGTAGTAGCAGCACTCGTAGTAGTAGTAGTGGTAGTAGTAGTAGTAGTAGTAGCAGTACTACTAGTAGTAGTAGTGGTAGTAGTAGTAGTAGTAGCAGTATTCGCCGTGGTAGTAGGCGTAGTAGTAGTAGCAGTAGTAGTAGTAGTACTGCTACTCGTAGTAGTAGCAGTAATAGTAGCAGTAGTAGTAGTAGTAGTAGTAGTCGTGGTCGTGGCACTAGTAGTAATAGTAGAAGCTGTAGTCGTAGTAGTAGTAGTAGTAGTAACAGTAGTAGTAGTAGTCGTCGTCGTAGTTGTAGTTGTTGCAGTAGCCGCTGTGGTAGTAGTAGTCGAAGTAGTTGTCGTAGTAGTAGTAGTAGTAGTGGTAGTAGTAGTAGTAGTAGTAGTAGTAGTAGTAGTAGCCGTCGTCGTAGTAGTAGTAGTAGTAGTGGTGGTAGTAGATGTAGTAGTAATATTAGTAGTAATAGTAGTAGTAGTAGTAGTAGTAGTAGTAGTAGTAGTAGTAGTAGTAGTGGTAGTGGTAGTGGTAGTGGTAGTGGTCGCAGTAGTCGCAGTTACCGTAGTCGTAGTAGTAGGAGCAGCAGTAGCAGTAGTAGTAGTCTGTTGCCATACTCGTGGGAGTCGTAGCAGCTGTGGATAAAGTAGGTGGCTCAGCAGTAGTAGTAGTAGTAGTAGTAGTAGTAGTAGTAGTAGTAGTAGTAGTATGGTAGTGGTAGTTGACGCTTTAGTAGTAGTGGTAGTAGTAGTAGTAGTATTATTAGTAGTAGTAGTAGTAGTAGTAGGAGGAGTAGTAGCAGTAGTAGGAGTAGTACCAATAGCAGTAGTAGTAGAAGTAGTAGTAGTGGTAGTAATAGTCGCAGTAGTAGTCGGCTTAGTAGTCGCAGTCGTATTCTTAGTATTATGAGTAGTAGTAGTAGTAGTAGTAGTAGTAGTAGTAGTAGTAGTAGTAGTAGTAGTAGTAGTAGTAGTAGTAGTGGGAGTCGTAGTAGTAGTAGTAGTAGTAGTAGTAGTAGTCGTTAGTAGTAGTAGTAGTAGTAGTAGTAGTAGTAGTAACAGTAATAATAGTAGTAGTAGTACTAGTAGTAGCTGTAGGAGTGGTCGTAGTAGTAGTAGTAGTAGTAGTAGTAGTAGTAGTAGTAGTAGTAGTAGTAGTAGGCACTGGGTGACGACAAAGACGACGACGGCGTCGTCTGGCCCATGGAGGCCCGTTTCGGCATCCGGCCCATGGATGCTTGTTTCGGACCCCATGCCGTCACGGGTGGAATCGAGTCACGGGTGGAAATAAGAGATGAGAAGCAGAAAGAAACATAAGACAACCAACAACCTCATACAAGAACTACAAAAGACGCGGGCGACGACCCCCCCCCATGAGGTGCGGCGCGCGCGAGAAAGCGATGGCGTCCTCCCCCAGACGGCGTCAGCACGACCACGACGGAGAACGCACGAGGAGTGACGACGACACCAGATGACGATAAAGACCGCGCCAGAAGCGATCCAGAAGCGCTTCAGAATGCGCTTCAGAAGCGCTTCGGAGCCCCATTCAGAAGCTCATTAAAAGCTCTTCTCAAGCGCTTCAGACGCGCTCCATAAGCTCTTCGGAAGCTCATCGGAGGCTCTACCGAGGCTCTTCAGAGGCGCTCCAGGAGCTTTTCAGAGGCGCTTCCGAGGCGCTTCATAGGCGCTTCAGAGGCGCTTCAGAAGCTCTTCAGAAGCGCTTCAGAGGCGATTCAGAGGCCCTGCGGACGCGATTCAGAGGTCCTTCAGTGACTCTTCAGAGGCTCTTCTGAATTTCTTCAGAAGCTCCTCGTAAGCTCCTCATGAGCTCATCAGAGGCTCTTCAGAAGCTCGTCAGAAGCTCACCGGAGGTTCTTAAGAATTGCTTCAGAGGCTCTTTAAAAGCGTTCGAGAAGCGTTTTAGCTTCAGAGGCTCCCCAGAATCGCTTCAGAGGCTCTTCAGAAGCGCTTCCGAAGCGCTTCAGGAAGCCATTCAGAGGATTTTCATAATCGCCTCAAGATCTTGTCAGAAGCGCTTCAGAAACGCTTCAGAGGTTCTTCAGAAGCTCATCAGAGGCTCTTCAGAAACTCTTCATGGTATCTTCAGAGGGGCTGCAGGAGGCGCTTCGGGGGCGCTGCAGAGGCCCTTCAGAGGCTCTTCAGAGGCGCCTCGACGGGCACTTCGGAGGCGCATCAGGGGGCGCTTCTGGGGCGCTTCTGAGGCGCGTCGGAGACCTTTCAGAGCGTCCCAGAGGCGCGTCAGAGGCGCTTCAGAGACGCTTCAAAGACGCTTCAGAGGCGCTCCAGAGGCTCTTCAAAGGCGCTCCAGGGGCGCTTCCGAGGCGCTGCAGAAGCTAATGAGAAGCGCCTCGGAGGCTCTTCAGAGGCGCTTCAGAGGCGCTTTTGGGTGCGCTTCGAGGGCGCTTCAGAGGCTTCGCTGACGCGCTTGAGAGGCCCTTCAGAGACTCCAGAGGCGCTTCAGAGGCTCTTCGGAAGTTCTTCGGAAGCTCACCAGAAGCTCATCGGAGGGTCTTCATAAACTCTTCAGAAGCGCTTCAGGGGCTCTTCAGAAGCGCTTCAGAGGCTCTTCAGAAGCGCTTCAGGAGTCGCTGCAGACGCTCTTCAGAAGCGATTCAGAAGCTCGTCAGAAGCGTTTCAGAAGCGCTTCATAACATCTTCACAGGCTCTTCAGAACACAATCGGCGCTTTCAAAAGCTGAAGCTCTTCAGAAAACCATCGGACCAGAAGCTCTTCAGAAGACCATCTGAAAACCTTTGTCAAAAGCTCTTCAGAAGTTCTTCAGAGGCTCTTCAGATGCGCTTCAGAGACACTTCAGATGTTCTTCAGCCGTCACGCCCTGGGGCCGTTTTTGTCGGCCGTGGGGTCGTTCATGTCGGCCGGGTGCGGCCACGTTACGCCCTAGGTCCGTTATTGTCGGCCCTGGTCGCCCTATTTGGGGCGGGGTGCTGGGGCCGGCTGGGTGTCCCTGCAGCGCGGGGCACTCCGTGTTTTTTGGTGGGTTTTGTGTCGCCATCGTCAGATTTGGTTGGCTTACCTTGAAAACAGTCAAAGCGTTTACTAAGGATGAGCGGGTCTCCAAGGTTACCCTGGCATCCTTCCCCCTTCGGCCCATCCTCGCCCACGTTCGCTGGCCGAACCCCCCTCGAACAGTGTCGGCAAGGCCTTCCAAGGTCTTTGCATCTTCACAGTGCGTCCTCATGAGACGCTTTGACTGCACTCCTGAGTAACCCAGGAAGGTCTTCAAGGCTGACTGGCCCGTCAACCCCCTTCAGCTCGCGGCTGGCAATGTATGTCGTCCTTCCCCTCTTCGTTCTTCCTCTCGCCAGCACCATCGCCATCACAGCCATCACGGATCCTCATCCCCCCGAATCACCAGCGGTGTCCGCCGCTGGGGAATAGTGGTGTTCCCAGTATTTTAGGGGGTCCCGATCCGACAATGAGCCCGCGCCAAAAAACAAGGTCAGTTCCCCCCACCCGTCCCCCGAGGCGTGGACTACAAGGGGATGAAGACGAGGCACTGGGCCAGACGCCTTACGCGCGGGCTGGGCAGGCACCGCGCGCTGCGGCAGTGGCTCTGGACGAAGGGCGTGGCCCACACGCTCGAGGCCCCCATGGGAGGAGGATGGGGAGGAGGAGGAGGAGGACCAGTGTAAAACCAAGAGTCATCAACGATGTTGGAGTAAACCCTCCCTCTGAGCTACCTCTTCGTAGGTCCCTACAACTGTTCATGTCCACTGAGAGAGCTGCCTCGTTGGAAGACAACCCTTTGAAGACCCTGCAGCATGCCAATCCATTTTTCTCTGGATTTCAACGCCACGGATCAGCAGGACTGTTGCGTCTGGACGATACTGAATCATGCCGCCATTCCTAGGACTTCAGCACCGCGAATCAATGTAACAGTTGCACCCCCATAATCCTGAGTCCTTCCGCAACCATTTGTGGTACGTTGATCATGTGAATCCGTGAAGCTCTCGTAGTTGTTTACAACGAATGTGCACGGCGCTAAGGCGAGAGCCACCTGCTGAATAGGAGCCGCCCTCAATCCGTGAAACTCTTGCAACTGTTCCGAAAGAATGTGCACGGCGCTCAGGCGAGAGCCCCATTTTGAAAAGGAACCGCCCAAAATTCGTGAAACGCTCGCAAATGATTGAAATGAATGTGCGCTGCACTTAGGCGGGAGTCACAGTTTAAAACGAATCTGCGCGGCGCTAAGTCGAATTTGGAAAACGGCCCGCCCTCTATCTGTGAAACTGCTGCGAATGTTCACGCTTCAAGGTCATAACTGGTGAGGAAGTCTCAGACGAAACGCCCGGCCCGCCCGCCATACAAACTGGCCTCGGGGTGCGACAGGAAGACGGTATGTAGAAGGACAAAGAGAGGAGGAGGAGGAGGAGGAGGAGGAGGAGGAGGAGGAGGAGGAGGAGGGCAAGGAGGAGGAGGAGGAGGAGGAGGAGGAGGAAGAAGAGATGAAGCCAGGCATTTGCCCACTTCTAGTCTTCCGTCGCATCATGTGCCTCTGTCCTTTGCACTATATGCCGTCCACGTCTTCGGGTGCAGATGTCTAGGTCGTTTGACCGCGCTGTTATTGTCTCGCACTCGTCCTCTTGAGTTTTTCCACGTCCATCCCTACAAGAGCTCGTGTTGCCGAGGAACGCAACAGCCCGGTCGCTGATCTTTGCCGAGCGTCAAAACAAAAAAAGAGGAGCGGGGAAGGAGAAGGAGGATTCATAGTGTTTTAGGTCTACTCTGTGCGCCACGGCGCGCGCTGTGCTTCAGCCAGTCACCCCATCCCCTTCCCCGTAAGGTAACGCTCCTCCCCCCCAAGATCGGGCCGGGCGAAAGGGGGTGATTCTACGTGAGCTGATTCTCAAACCCCCCCTTTGCTATCCCCCCCTTTCGCCCGACCCGACAAGAGCGTCCCCAGCACTTCCGCAGTGCGCCCGGCCCGTGGCGAGGGACCCACACGGCGGGGAGGGGCGGCGAGCCGTGCTTGGCTACTGTGATGCGATGCGGTGTTTTTCGACGCCAGCGTTATGTCGGGCACGTCCTTCGACAGGAGGCATATTCGAAAATAGTTAAAACATAGCCATGGGATGATTTTTCTATCATTGTCGGATCATTTTTCGGTAGACTTGTCGGAGTATTCTCATTTTTCGTCCAGAATCCGCCTGCAGGGGGACACGCCCGACCTACCGCCAGCGGCACGGACGGGGAAGGCGACGGTGATGACGACGGCGTCGAGGCGGATGCTCGAGGACGAGGGTGACGGCAAGGAGGAGGAGGACCGGAGGGTGGGGGGGTGGGAGGAGGTCGGGAGCCTCCAGACCGGGGTCAATGCAAACGGGGGTCAGCCAGAGCGCTGGATTTTGCAAGATCCTGCAGGGCCAGGGTCGCACTGACCCGGGTTTGGGTGCAGGACCCTGCAGGATTTTGCAGTATCATTTGCATTAACCCGGGCTTGGATGCAGGATCTTGCAGGATCCGCAGGACTCTGCAAGGCCTGACTGACCCGAGTCTGTACTGACTGGGGTCAGAAGATCCCCGAGGAGGACGAGGGCGAGGACGATCGGGGGCAACGATAGGTGGGGATAGGCATAGGGGGGATGCATCGACCCCCAATTGCCCATTCATTGATCGCCGACAGGGGCCCGATAGCCCCAACCCGCCCAGGAAGGTGCGGATTCACTACCGGGGGCCTATCGCCGATCTATCGGCAATGTGCCGCCGATTTCAGGTCGATGCATCCCCCCTTATGCCAGTCCCCCCTATCGTTGCTCCTCAGACGAGGCCTGGGACGAGGACGTGGACGAGGGGGGAAGGTCGAGGTCGAGGACGAGGAGGGCGACGGTGATGGTGCCGAGAAGTGGGCGAGGAGGGCGAGGAGGACGAGGTCGGAGCAGAAGCACTTGCATCAACATTTCAACTAAACGTTCGGGTGTCCGCGCGGGGTTCTCGTATCGTCGCTGGGCCCCCCCTGGCGGCGACTCCAGCGCCGCCCCTTGGCGCGCCCCGCGCGCCGGGCAGGGGTGCCAAGCGCCGCTCCATGAAGTCCGCAGGGGCCTCCAGCAGGTAGAGTTTGTTTAGTTGTCGCTTTTCTCGGCGGTGATGACGAGGGAGGAGTGGTCAGAGCCCCGAATCATCAGGGGTAACTCGGGTCAGGGCTGACTCGGGTTAGTTTTTTCGGGAATCCAAGCCCGAGTTGCCCCGGGCCCGAGTTACCCCGGATAGCTCGGGCGTCCAGAGCCCCAAATCATCAGGGATATTTCGGGTCAGGGCTAACTCGGGTTCGTTTTTCGGGAATCCGAACCCGAGTTACCCCGGGCCCGAGTTACCCCGGATAACTCGGGCGCCCAGAGTGGGGGCTGGATGACCACGGGGGCACGGATAGCGAAGCACGAGGAGGACGGTCCGGACGGGGAGCACGCAGGAGTGGGAGTATGAGGGGGAAGGGGGCGAAGGCGAGGAGAGGAAGGGGGCGAAGGCGAGGAGCGATGAGGAGGATGAGGAGGGGGAGGAGTGGGAGACGTCGTTGTCAACTCTGGTTTGCCCGCCCCTCACGCACATACGCACATTCGCCCCCTCGTCACCACCATCACTCACATTTATGGAATCGCTTCGCTCATTCCGCCGGCTCATCTTGCATCACTGGTGCTATATATTTGTATGTTCTTGGCGAGCGAAAAGGTGAAGGAGGATGAGGAGGAGGAGGAGGAGGAGGAGGAGGAGGAGGAGGAGGAGGAGGAGGAGGAGGAGGAGGAGGAGGAGGAGGAGAGGAGAGGGGGGGATGAGGATGAGGAAAAGGTCTCTGGAGAGTTTTTTGTGTCAAGTTGGGGCGAAACTGGTCATGGACAAGGCGCCTCGTTGGGAGTCGCTCTGGGAGGCCTCTGGGGTGCCTCTTGGCGGTGCGAATTCGTTCGAGGATTGAGGGTCGTTGGCGCAGAGGGGGGAGAAGGAGGAGAGGGAAGAACGAAGAAGGGGTTGGTGAAACGATAGGAGGCCTCTTTGGGGCCTCTTGGCGGTATGTCTGACACCTCCTGGGGCGGTACGGGGGCCTCTTGGGGGCCTCTTGGGGTCTCTTTGGACCTCTCGGGGGCCTCTTGGGGGCTTTCTGGGGGACTCTTGGGGCCTCCAGGGGACCTCGCTGCGCCTGGAGCTCAAAATGTCCGTTAACGTCCCTCGTCTGGGCCCGCTCTTGGAGCCGTCTTGGGAGCCTTTTCGGCAATTTTGGAAGCCTCTGGGGCTGTCTTGGGTCCCTCTGGGACCGTTTCGAGCGCTCTTGGAGGCCGCTTGGGCTGTGTTGGGGCGATGCTGGAAGCCTCTTGGGCCGTCTTGGAACGCCAGTAAGCCTCCAAAGCGAGAACGCCAAAAACCTTCAAACACTGCAGCAAAATCACTAATGTCTGCCTCTGTGGGCCCTCTTGGGAGGTCTCTTGGAGGCCTCTGGGGGCGTCTCGCAGGCACCTTGGGCTGTCTGGAGCCCATCTTTGGTGTCTTGGATCGCTCTTGGGCCGTCTCGGGCCATGTTGAGCTCTCTTGGAGGCCGCTTGAAGCGCTCCTGGAACGCTCTTGGGAGCCTGCTGGGACCTGGCCGGGGCGTTTCGTCCGGGGACCCCCAGGGGCGGCACCGCGCGCGCGCGAACTAGAATATTGCTATATAACCAGTCACCGGAGACCTTCGCACGCCGTTGGCCCGTTGGGCCGGCGAATTCTCCTCCAGCGGTGTGGCTCACGGTCGCGTCCGAAGAAAGCAAGTTAAACGCACACAGCACACGCACACACACGCACACACACACACACACCTGCACAGCCACGGAACCCGCGATTTCCGCGCGGATTTCCGACAGATTATGTTTCTGTTGGTGTTTGTTTGTTCAAGTTTGCATTTTAATTTGGGGAGGCGGAATACGTCAGGGCGTTCTCCGCAGTCACCCATGAAGCATAATCCACGGCATCGTCGTCCTTGTCCTCGTTTTCGTCCTCGTCGCGTCGTCGGCGTATAACACACGGCGTGGCGATGGCCAGTGGCACAATAATTTTCGTCCTGGACCCAACGCGGGTACAGTGCAAGATGGGTGTTCCTAGCACAGCCTTCTGCGGGGATTCCGAGGCAAATTGCTGCGGAGGTGGGGAAGCGCTGCTGCAAACCCTTGCCCTTGCCTCCCGCCTGTGCTGAACTGTGTGCACAATTATCTTTCCAGAAACTGAATCCATACCGATCTTCACATGACGCTCGAAGCGGAGTCGATGGGAGCAAACGCGTGCATCACTGGATATCCCAAACGATGCTGCTGCAACTGGCTGTAGGGTGGGCAAATGCTGCCCCAATCGCCATGCTGGTACGGGTAGTATTTCTTTGAAGGCAACAACAACGATTATTTTTTGCATCAGAAAAACTAGGCACCCTAATTCAAACTGCTCCCGCCACATACGCTTATATAGAAGTCTAAGACGTGTCCTGTCTACTCCGCACCCTTGGCGGACCCTCACTGTGCCCCCGAAGTTGTCAGACAAGATCTGGGCTGTACTTAGAGAGGCCGTCGCGGGGGCGGACTCTCTCCAAGCCCTGGGCGTAGGTGAAGGTGACACTGAACTCGTGCACAAGAACAAGGTGTTTCTGCGCCTGTGGCTGTCCATACTGGACATGTTGGCGATCGTACTACGCCGTTGATCGAACTTGCTGTCTGGCCTACTCGCCTCATTGTTGTAGCTCCGTGCTCTGAATCTTGTCATGAGGAAGCAACAGTTGTCTGTTGAAATCTTCCTCTTTCGTGTTTGTCAGCATCCGTCGGTGCAAGTCGCCTTCGGCACGGGTGAATAGAGATGGGTGGTGTGCGGAAGATGTTTGAGTGCAATTGTACATGTCATCCAACATGCCGTCTTCGTCGTCCAGGATTTTCATAGTTTGTTCTGATGTCCCGTGTACATGTAGTAATTACATCCCCTTGTTTTAGAATGGGGGGAATGGCCGCATTGATGAGATTGTTGGCAGGATCCCAGCCAAAGCCTCGTAGGTTACGTATCGGCCGGGGCGCGAGAAGGGTGGATCGCACCACGGTGGAATATGCCATTCGTGCCCTCTTTGGGGCTCCTTCGCCTGGGCTCTGGTGGTCCTTGGGGTTCCGTGGTTGGGAATTGCGACGCAGGAGCTCACGAGGCGAAGCCTGCCTGAGGACACGGCAAGGAGCCCGAACGCGTGCAGCAGTCTGCACGAGCGAAGGAGGAGGAGGAGGAGGAGGAGGAGGAGGAGGAGGAGGAGGAGGAGGAGGGAGGAGGAGGACGGAGGAGGACGGAGGAGGAGGGAGGAGGAGGGAGGAGGAGGCGAGTGCCGCGCGGCGAAACGCACCTGCGTTCCTCGTGGCGTTCTCTGCAGGAGCTCACGCGGCGCAGCGAGCAGCACACCCAGCGCTACGAGGCCATCAGCCACCACCACGCCGCCCTGCGGGGCGAGGTCGTGGACCTGGACGGCAACGACCTGCAGGCAGCCAGAGAATCACCACCCACCAAACCACCCCAACCCAACCCGAAGGCCCCAATTTATCCTCGATTTCCAGTGGGGGGGGGTCGTGGAACATCGAGAAAACACGTATGCAACCCGTACCCCCCCCCAACCGAAATTCGGGTCTTCGGGTTGGGTTGGGGTGGTCTGGTAGGCAGCCAGAGAAGGTCGCTGAGAGAATCTCGGGCCAGACGAAGGGGGGGGATTTTGCAAGGTGGGGTTACGTAGTCTGCTGCATGCAGCTGGCTTCGGCCCCACCGAGGGACCCATCCCTCTATGCATGGCCGCCTCCGGTGCCGGGAGGCGCCGGGAACATCGGCTTCGTGAGCTGATTCTCAAGCCCCCCTTTCGTTATCCCCTCCTTTCGCCGGGCCCGAAAATCCCCAGGCTGCACCTAATCACCACCACCGTGCCTCCTGGGTCGTCTATCCCAGAGCCTACGATGGCCCTGGGAAGGTATGGTTGTGGTCCATCGGTGCTTCCTGCGGAGAAGAGACGCACGAGATACGAGATTTGTTAAGCGCTATCGTTCAGGGTCACTGCCCTCGCAACGCATAGGGTGTGATTTACCCGCAGCTCAGGTAGGCTCGTACCAATCTCCCAGGGGTGAGGGGCCGAGCCTGCTTCTATGGTCGACTGGTGTCCTTGGTGGGAAGTCCCCACCAGTTAATTCAGGAGGAAAAGAAACACACAGACACAATGAATCGTCGATTTCCAAGAAAATATGGGAAAATATGGGAAGTGGGGGGGGGAGAAAAACCAAGCTAATATGAGAAAATATGGGGAATATTTTTATTTGTGTGTATTTATTTGTGTGTCCTGGGGCCCCTTCGTGAATGTCCGAACCTCCCTGTCCTCAGACCTCCCGTGGCGGCCAGAATCTGGCTCCCAGATCTCCTGCGCGCGTGCACTTCTTACAGTCGGGGCCCTGAAGAAGGAACCCTTTTCGTTGGGGAGGGGCTAGGTGTTCCTTGATTGTTCTACAGTCTGCCTTCTGTTTTCCTGAGGTTTTCCATGGGAAATCGAAGGTTCACTTATGGGAGAAAGGGGCCCCGTTCCTTATTTAGGGTTCCTTAGGTCAACGCCCCGACGGTACTGCGGTCTGAGACTGGAAAGAGGGGGCTGCCAGTCGGTGTCCTGCAAGCCAGCTGTGTGCTGACTCCCAGCGACCCCGTCCAACGCCGAGGCTGACCCCTTCAGCAAGCATCATCTTGGGAAAACGTCCTCTTGAACGGGAAGGTCCAGAGTTGTCTTGAGGTAAACTGTGTTGAGGTTGCCGATGGGTGTCGCGATGAAAATGTCGAGAGGTTGGTTTGAAGGGCCGCTACTCGGGAGCCGTCGGGGCAGCCCTCACGACCACACCCTCCAGGCACCCATGGGGCCCACGAGGTCCTCTTTCAGGCCGCCCCCCCAGGCCACCCCCGGGTCCGCGTCGTCGTCGTTGCCGACGCATTGGTCGTCACAGTCGTTCGTGCTCGCATGGGCCGAGCGCAGCGAGCTGACGCGCACGCGCGCTGGGTCGAATCGTATGTCCTCCAGTCGCCTCGTCCTCTTTTCGGAGGTGACGCCTTCCAGGCTTCAATGGGCCCCCCTGAGGTCCTCTCCGAGGGCCCCGTGCCCCCATTCCCAAGGCCGCCAGGTCCGCGTCGTGGTCGTCGCCGCCGCCGTGGCCTTCGCTGTCGTTCGTGTGCGTATGGGCCGAGCGCACTGAGCGCGCGCGAGTGCGCGCGCGCGAGCTTTCTGCGCTGGGCCGAGTGCCCGCCTGGCGCGACAGAGCGCGCGCGAGCACGCTGGGTCGAGCCTTCTGGCCTCCCGCTGCCTCGTCCTCCTGTCGGAGGTCTAAGAGGTGGCAGCGCCTCTCACACCAGTATCGGTGGTGTCACCCACCGAGGGCAGATCATGCCGATCTCGGGCAGCAGGGGCTTCCTGGGCGGCAGAAAGGGCACCACGACCCCATGTGTTGGTGCCGGTGCCAATTTCCAGGCCCCCAAGCTTCTCCTTCCTCCCTCCAACGCCACGGCACGAGCGCATCTTCTCCTCTCACCGCTGACGTTGACGGTGCTGGCACGTGAATCTACAGAGGATGTTGTCATGCCCCCGCCCCTAGGGGCGGTCGCTCATTGTGGCGAAACCGATAGGTACCGATACCCCTACTCCCTGGACCTCTCCCGGGGTTCGTTCTGACAAGAATTTCGAGGCGAATCCAGCGGTGGCGACGAGGGCCTCCCAGGAGGCCGAAAAAGGCAACACGAGGGAAAGGCAGCGGTTTCGGCATTTTTTCCTCCTCTGACATTTGGGGGGGGGGGACGATCACACTAGCTTCGCCATACCTTCCAGCGATGGTGTTCGCGTCGTGGCACCGGCGGCGGCGCAGCCGAACCCCCCCCCCCCCCCGGCGGCGATCTGCCACCAGGGAGGGCGCCAAACCAGAGTCCGCTGTGAGAGGAGCAGGAAGAGGAGGAGGAGGAGGAGGAGGAGGAGGAGGAGGAGAGAGGAGGAGGAGGAGGAGAGGAGGGAGGAGGAGGAGGAGGAGAGGAGGAGGAGGAGGAGGAGGCGGAGGAGAGGAGGAGGAGGAGGAGGAGGTGGAAGGGGGGGGGGGGCCCGAGGAGGGAGGCGCGGAGCAGAGCTTCCGGGCACAACGGAGAAGAAAACCAGAAGAACATGTACACGACCTGTGGGGGGCTGTTTCTCGATCCTCCTCCTCCTCCTCCTCCTCCTCCTGCTTCTCCCCCTCCTGCTTCTCCTCCTCCTCCTCCTCCTCCTTGCACTGGGCGACCGCCCGACGCGCGGACGGCTTCGCGCCCGGAGTCGCCGCACCGCTAAGCCCCCGAGCGTTTCGAGGGTCGGTGACGACGACGTCGGGGTGGTGTGGCGTAAGCGTTTTTATCCGCTTCCCGGGTGAACAACGAAGCATGTACAGTGCCGTTTTCAATACATGCTCCGCGTGCGGATCATGTATTAAAGATGCAGGGCTTTAGTACTAAACACAACGACGAGTTCATGCATCAATTTATTCGTAGAGTAATCAGGCATGTAAAATCTTATATGCTTCAAAATCCAATGTATTTAAAACCGCCCTGTATACGCCAGGGTCCCGTCTACATCAGGCTCCGCTTGCCTGTGCAAATAGCCTTGCAAGGCTGGACAAAAAAACCGTCGGCGTATGGAGTTCGGTGCTTTATACAGAACCACAACCTAACCGAGTGGATGTTTGGCGAGGGCACCTCGGAGGATAACCCACCGACCTCGGCATATCATCCTCGGTTGTGGTTGTGGTTCTGATCGGTTTCGCCGTCCTGGGACGTCAGATCGACCACAACTAGTGCGAAGCTGGTTTCGGTGTTCCGACAAATTCTGGGCATGCGGAAGACTTTCCCCAGGGTGTGTCTTCGATGTGGTTGTGATCGCTTGCTCGCCCCGCAGAGTCGAAATTGATAGTCATGATGATCGATTTTCCAAGGTTTCCCTTGCATCTTGTCCCTTCGGCCCGTTCTTGGCCACTCTCGTTGGCCGATGGAGGAGCCTCCCGAGCGTGCCTTCCATCCCGCCCCTTGTTGGCCCCCGCGGCTTTCCGCCGTCGAGGAAGGTAGAACGGAGGTAGGATCGGGACAAGTCGGGACTTCTGAGATCTGACTGCTCCGAGGGACGTATCGGGGGCCGCGGCCCATTCAGTGCGGTCTGGAACGCTCCGAGTGCGTCCCGCAGCGCTTCGGAGCGATCTTCCCCGATCTTTACCAGCATGAAGCAGATCACTATCTTTATGCTTGGCGTCACCGTATCACGATACCGATCTGAGGTATTCCTTCAGTTGTCCGAGGCGCATCCCTAAGATTGGCATCGCTTTTGGGCTTGTCAACCCTGGGCATAGGGATAAGCTCGAGGCTGGTTAGATCTTGGTGACGGTTTGATTAGAAGGAATGCCCAGGCGGTGTTCGTCTCTCGCATCCCCTTCAGCGCCTATTCTCGTGGTTTTCCTCTGTGTCATCGATCCTCCTGCTCACCGCTCAGCGTTCTGCTCCTCCTCCTTTCCCTTCCCCATTCCACGTCCGCGGCCTCCTCCACCTGTCCCTCCCCTTCGTCCTCCTGTTCCTGATTACTCTTGCTCCCGGACATCCCCGTCCTCTGCCTCCTTGTCCTTTTCATCCTGGGCCGTTGTCTATTCCCATCGTCTGTCTTACTCATTCATCCCTTCGCCCCTCGTTCCCCATCCTGTTCCTCGTCGCTCGCGTCTTCCTCCCCTGGTCGCGTTCTGGCTGAGGACATGGTTCAAACGAGGGCATAGATCAGTGATGACAGTTCGGGCTCCTTTACGCTTGCATTTCGGACTAGAGGGCGCAGCTGAGGATTACACCGATGCCGTGCTTCATCCAGTCGACTTCTGGTTGGTTGCATGAGGATTTGGTTGGCCAGGGATCATCCAGGCTAGCTCGGGCCCCCTTGCGCTTTTCCTCTGGGATCAGGAAACAAACCCCATGAGCTCCTCATCTTGCTTCGTCTCTTACGCGAGTCACAGGGCATCGATTGCGTCCTTCTCTTGCTCCTTCTCCTCTTGGTTGTCTTGTGGTCGAGGGCTCCCTCGGTGGAGGCACCATTCTGTCGGGCAGCCCCGGAGGGTGCGGTGACCACACCGCGTGGTGAGTCCGTGGGGATGCGGGCGGGCACGGTTTTTGGGGAACCTGGGCCTCTAAGGCCCAGGTTCCCAGGAGGGAGGAGGAGGCAGGAGAAGGAGGAGGAGGAGGAGGAGGAGGAGGAGGAGGAGGAGGAGGAGGAGGAGGAGGGAGGAGGAGGAGGAGGAGGAGGAGGAGGAGGAGGAGGAGGAGGAGGAGGAGGGAGGGAGGGAGGGAGGGAGGAGGAGGGAGGGGAGGGAGGGAGGAGGGAGGGAGGAGAGGAGGAGGAGAGGAGGAGGAGGAGGAGGAGGAGGAGGAGGAGGAGGAGGAGGAGGAGGAGGAGGAGGAGGAGGAGAGGAGGAGGAGGGCGCAGTTTTTTGGGATGTCTCGGGCGGCTGTGGCCTCCATGGCCCCGGCACCGTGCGGGGACGGGCCGTGCGGGGATCTGGAGGTCACCGCGCTCTTGCTCCGTCGCCGCACTGCTTCTGGGAGCGCCCCGAGCACGTCAGGAACTCTGTGGGCCCCGGAAACGGCAGGGCCGTTGTTTCACCGCTTCCAAAAAAAAGTGTCTTTTGAAAACGGAAGCGGCAAACAAAACGGCGACCGGAAACGGCGAAAAAACGGCTCCAGGATTGGAGCCGGAGCCGGAACCGGTCAAAAAACGGCGACGGAACCGGTAAAAGAAACGGCGTTGGAACCGGCAAAGAAACGGCAAAACGGAACCGGTAACAAAAACTGCCCTGTCGTTTCCAGGGCCCACTAAGGTCAGGAAGCCCCATTTCGCGGCGTCGCGACTCGCCCCCTTTTCCATTCGCCGGCGCGCGCCCGTCGGCCAGGAGGTCACGCCGGAGGAGTACGCCCAGGCCGTGGCGTTCATGGTGTCGGAGTGGTGGGTCTGCAAGACGCGCTGGGCCCCCGCCCCGCCTGCACAGCGCCTCTCGCCTGGCCGCCGCCGTCGTGTCGAGCTCCCGCCGCGGCGTGCGGCCGGCTCCTGGAAGCGCGCGCGCGGTGGCGCCGTTGGGCGTCTCCGTCGGCTCTCGGCCGCAGTCTGCGCGCGCTGGGCAGCAGCGCAATGGGTGTAGTTACGCTGGGGTGTCGCTTGCGATCGGCGCCGTTGGGGCTCCAGGGGCCACCGCGCTGCGCCACAGGTTTGATGACCCTCGTCGTGGCACGGCGGAGACCTCTGTCGAGGTCCTCGCCTGTCCGCCCCTCGCCCCAGGCGCGGCTTGCAAACCACACTCGTCGGGGTCGCCGAGCTTGGCAGCAGTGCCCGTGTGCAGGGCAAGCGGTGTCCATCATGGAGTTCTCAGACATTTTCGGGGCCCGAGGTGGCTTCCATCAGCTGCGCCTCGTCGAGAGCGTCCAGGAGGGGCCACAATCGTCCCGAACGGCCGCTGGATGCCCGAGTTAGGACCCTAGAACTGAGACCAGTCAACGTGGGCTTCCCCGTCGGCACCCGTTGAGGCCTTCAACATGGGGTCCGAGCAGATGGGGTCGGAGGATCGTGCCGCATCGCCCGCCTGTCGCCAATGCATCCCCGAGGAATCGGCGACGTCGGCGATACATGGGCGCCGTTGGCGTGGAGAAAATCGGGCTCCACATCGAGCCGCATCGCCGATGCAGCGGCGATGCCGGGCGCAGCCTGCGTGCGCGGGGCAGCAGTGGCTCTCGACGGCAGCCTGCGCGCGCGGGGCGCCGGCCGAGAGGCCTGGGTCGCGGCCGCAGATCTGCGTGCCATGGGGAGTGTTGTGGAAGTCGATCAATGGAGAGGAAGCGTGCTGCCCAACAATTTCCAGATGTCTACTAGATGTGTTTATACGCTTACAATATGTTAAAGCCTGTTTGAGAAATTTTCAGAACATGTTTTACGCCTTTAAAACACATCTTCAATTCAATGATAGGGTTCTTAGAGTGTCCATTGTCATAGCATCCACAAGTGGCGAGCTTATAGATACCAGCGCCCTCGCGGTCTGGACTCCAGGGCCCATCCCGTGGACACAGCAGGCCGATCAAACAGTGACTCGACTCGCCGGCAGGCACCGTTGCGGACATGTCCTATCTCACGATGGCCCCAGGGTCCCACGGGAGCTCTGGAGCACGAAGGGTGTGCCCCAAGAAAGCGCAGATCAAGTCGTCTTCTCGTGCCTACCGAGCGCGGTCGTAGGGATACGTTCCACGCGGGGCATCCGCGAAAAACACCCCCCCGTATCCATGGCGTCGCGGCCCAGGGGCCCGGGGCCTGGAAGCCGCTCACGAAGAGAGCTCGGGGCGGGCCGGGGGCTTGGCCGCGCAGCTGTTCTGTGAGCTCTCGTGCCGTGTCTTGGCTACCTGCCGCGTGGGGTGGCGCCTCTCCAGCCGTCCGAGGCTTTGCTCCCTGTTTCAAGCAGTGGCGAAGCGTATTGGCGTGCCTACAGCCCTACCAAACAATGTTCTAAGAACCTGTTGTGGTTCCCACGAAAAGGTTTTTAGAACATTTCTGGCTGGGGCTGTCTTGTTTTATCACATCGGGTTGATGTTCTACTAACAGTGTTTTTGTGTTTCGAACTTTTTGGGTTCTAAGAACATTTCGTGGTAGGACTAGAGGAATGCCGGGACGGTCGGTCCCTGCTCAATTGTTTGTTGTCCGAGTCGAGTGTGCCAGCGGCTCCTTTCAGTTCTCACGTAGGCGTCAGCTCAGCGCGCTGCACGTTGTCCCGCCTCGCTTGCTGGCCTCGCGGCTTCTCGGGTACCCCGTGTCCCCCGGCAGTGGATCATGAAGATGATCGACGAGTTTTACCTCTTGTCCCCAGAGATGCTGATACGGGGACATCCTCGCTGGGCGTTCAGGCCCACGCGGCTTGGGCGCAAGGGGGAGCACTGGGGTTCAGATGAGACGGGGAAGCAGCAGCAGCAGCAGCAGCAGCAGCAGTACAGTCAACCCGCATAGTAAGGATGGGCAGCCTTCCCAAGGGTACCCTTGCATCCTTTCCCCTCCAGCCCATCCTTGGCGACCTTTGCTGGCCCCAGCCTCGTTCGAAAATCGTCGATACGGATCTCCAGGGTCCTTGCATCCTTACTGCGCATCCTTACTACACGGGTTGATTGTATCAGGAGTGGCAGAGTGAACATCGGGAAACGAAGAATGACATAAACATAAAAACTCAGAGGTCCGCGCAGATGTGTCGGATCCGCGCTGGACCCCCCTGGCGGCGCCTCCGTCGCCCTCCCTGGCGCGCTCCGCGCGCCAGGGAGGAGGGTCCAGCGCCGATCCCAAAAATCCGCGCGGACCTCCGAGTTATTATGTTTATGTCATTCTTCGTTCCCCTAGAACAGGAAGATGGCGACGTTCTCAATCTGCGCGGGGGGGGAGGCCACGATGGGCACGCCGAGCACGGTCTTGGCCTGCCAGCGGTTGCCCCACGAGGCGTCCGCATGTCCCGATGGGCTCGCGGAGCCTCTGGGAACCTGACGAAGCGCCGAGTCGACGCAGGAAGTGACCCTGGATTTCTAAGATGCGAGATTCCATTGTGTAAGGAGCCGAACTCTATACACCGACGCTTTTTCCGGGCCCGCACTGAAATGCGGAATACACACATATATATATATAGAGAGAGAGAGAGAGAGAGAGAGAGACGCTTCCCCCCGCGAAATGGGAAACAAGTGTACACCACACCACCCCGACGTCGTCCCCGACCCTCAACAAGGTCTGGGATTGAAAAACAGCCCGCCACTGGTAATTTATATGTTCCAGCTTCCGATTGTCTGCATACGATCGAAGAAGAATAACGGCATACACATAGACTTTTGGCGCTCCGCGCGGGTCTCTTGGATCCGCGCTGGGCCCCACCGCGCTTCGCGCGCCAGGGAGGGGCGTCCAGCGCAGATCCAAGAAATCCGCGCGGAGCGCCAAAAGTCTATGTTTATGGCGGCGCTCCGATTTCTATGCTTACTACACTGCACCACTCTTGGCCTTTGCGGTGGCACGGAAGCTGGCCACACGAGCATGCTTTCTTTGCACACCGGGATGGTCGCAGCCGAGCTGCAGGAGCGCCGATCTACACCTTGGCGCTGGTCGAAGCACTGGCCGACTCCCACCACGATAGGGGGGTGTTGCCTTTGTCGGCGTGTTAGGGAGCGGGCCGATTCCGGCAAGGTACATGGCAGTATCCAGGATTCCGGGAGGAAGGAGCGATGCCAGACTTGCGACAGGACAGCTTGCCGACTTTCCAATTCCATGTCGTGCGGAGGCAGCGCTTCCTGGGGTAATTAGGCTTCGCCGTGTGCAGTAACCTTCATATAATGCATGTCAGCGTGTGCATACACATACGTACATCTGTTTATGTATAATACCTCAATGTGTGCATACACCTATGTCTATATATATGTGTATATATACTCATATTTATGTATCCGAGACACCTCACGTGGCCCAAAGGCCTCGCGTCGCTGACCATCGCCGCTCCGACTGTGACCGCCGTCGGCTAGCTCTTTTCGCCCGAGGTAAGCACCGACATGTGGGTGAGGCTTGGATGCTCTTCTTCGGAGTATCAGCTTTGTGCCTCAGGAGGGACCTACCAGCAGGCGTTTCTCCGAGATTTGCCAGCCGCATCAGATGGCGTTTTTGATGTTGAACAGATTCGGGGGCGTCTCTGCCCCTTCTTGGCTGGGCCATCCGCGATCTATCCGAGGCCTTTCGCCAGGAGGGAAAAAACACACAGACACAATTAATCGTCCGCTCCCCACAAAATATTGGAAAATATGGGAAGTGGGGGGGAAGACGAAAAGTCACGAAATATGGGAAAATATGGGGAATCCTGGGTTTTGCGTGTGTATTTATTTGTGTGTCCCTGGGCCCCCTCATTTCGAGCCAATCCGAGGCCGGTCCGAGGCTATCCGAAGCCGCGCCGGGGCTGGCTGAGGCCATCCGGGCGCCGAAGAAGGCAGCAAGAGTCGGGACAGAGGGGGTCCCCCGCAGTTTCTTCGTGCGTGTCTTGCCCTTCTGCTGGAAAGGCTAGGATCGGAGGCTGCCAGAAGGATTCGTTGGACAAGGTTGGTTTCGCTGGACTCGAGGTCCTCCCGACCCGACGTTGGGCACTCCAGCACGACCTGAGGCGTCCCAGCAGCCGTCGAGATCACCCTTCTTGAACCAGACCTTCTCGCCGTCCTCGACGTCTGGGCGCCGAAGAATGCAGCAAGAGTCGGGACAGAGAGGGTCCCCCGCAGATTCTTTGTGCGTGCCTTGCCCTTCTGCAGTATCGTTTAACCGATTCCCATCCACATCCCCATCCGGACCCCCACCATCTCATCCCCCCAGTTGGATATACCCTTCGAAATCTGACAGAAACTGCCTATATCCCCATCCAGTGGGGTAAACCGGCCAGTGGTGCCCAGGCCACGCGAGTGGGGATAGGGATCGGTTAAACGATGCTTTTACTTCTGTTGGAAAGGCGAGGATCAAGGACCGAGGTTCGAGAACCCGTGATCCAAGTGGTCGGATTGGTGTTGTTGCCTTTTCTCCCTGTGGAGGCCACGGGGAGCTCTGTAGACCACCGGCTGGCGAAGAGCTTGGCCGAGCCCCCCCGTCACAAAGCACATATAACGCCCGCCCTTCCCTTTCTCTCTTTTCACTCATCCCACATGCGTCCTCCTAATTCCTTTCCCCTCCTCCTGACCCCCCCCCCATCATAGGCAATATTGTTACAACGACCCCTTCCAGGTTTAACGTGTGGCAACGCGCCTGGACGTGCGATCAAGCTTCACTGTATTACCACGGTATCTTCCTTGCTTTCTTGGTGCCACCCAGAGCCGCCTTTTTCCGGATTCCTAACCTCACTCTCCGTTTACAGATCTTGTGCGCGGAGTAGCAGCGGGGACATTATTCGCATGCGTCGGATCAATGCCTCGTCTTTCGCGCGCAATCTTCAGCGCATGACACGCACCACGCAAAGTTCGAAACACTGACTTCTCAGTTAATCTAGGTTTTCTCCCAACCTCTCGTACTTCTACTAGTGAACTGATCGTGTCCTGGGTGTCGCGTGTCACCTTTCTGTGCTGTTCATATTGTGTACATCAACGTCAGCGCCTTTGGTAGTCTCACACATGTGCTAGGAGTGGCATCGTCCTCTGCCTAGTTCACACGGCATGATCCTACGCGGACGTCCAGCATGCAAAGGGAACGATTGGTTTGTCTCATTCTGTTTTCGGGCTGACGCATGTTACCCTCTTGATGTTGCAATATATGACCCCACGATGGCGCTCAAATACAGGTGGGATAAGAGCTCTTCCTCATCCCCGTGTTTGTGCATTCTGTATGGCTGTACGCTGGCGTCTAGAAGTGAAGTGAATCGATTGTCTTTCCTCATTAAGGTTTCGGGGCGGCACATGCCACCCTGTGCTTCTTCACGCTGCGTGACCCCATCTCGACGCCCAGATTTCACTTGAAATGCTTGGTTTCTACATAACATGGCTTCTTTGTCGTAAACAGTTTTCGGGGTGACTTTTGTCACTTATTTTCCGATGCCTGTCTATAGCCAGGAGTCGACGCTCATCAGGCAAACGGACCACTTGGTATGATCACGTGGTCAGGGATGACACGTGCCACATTATGTTCCTTTTTCACACTGTATAATTCCGCGTTGACGTCCAGAGTTCAAGTGGAACGCTTGGTTTGTTCTATCTAGTTTTCGGGGCGACACGTGTCACCCTTGTGTTCTGCCGCACTGTACGACGAAGCCGTTTTGACGCCAACGTTCAAAATGCACCAGCCGGGCTTCTCGAACACAATGTTCGGGGTGATCCTTGCCACCTTTTGGTTTTTTGTTTCCACAGTGTATGGCCATATGTTTGCGCCCAGGATGCGAGTGAAACGGTTGTTGGTCAGGTGACATGCGCCACTTGTTTGCCTTTGTTTGACTTTGTGCGGCCGAATGTTGACGTCCAGGAAACAAGTGGAACCATTGTTTTTCTCATTTCGTTTTCGGGGTGTTCCGTGTTTTGGTATCCCGTATGCCCCCATATCGTCGCCCAGCACGCAAGCGTTACAATTGGTAATGGTCACAATGTTCGGGGTCGCGCATGCCACCCGTATGCTGCGTCACACTATACAGCCCCATGTTGGTGCCCGCACTGCAAGCTTATCAATGGGTTTGCGCGGTTGTTTGCGTGACGCGTGTCACACTTTTGTATTTAATCGCGCTGTACGACCCCATGTTGGCGCACAACGTACAAGGGAAACGTTTTTTTTTCTTGCTGGCAGTTCGATGTGGCACGTGTCACCCCAGTGCCTCTTCACATTGTCTAACCATGTTGGCGTCCAGAATACCAATGAAAAAATTGAAACGCTAGGGCTGGCCATACGCAGGCCATGGGTCAGCCACGGGAAGCCGTGAACAGGCCATGGGTAAGCCATGGGCAGGCCACGGGATGGCCATCCGTCTTGACACCACCGTTGGTTGCTTCACTGGCTCAAGCACGCTAGCGATTCTTTTGCGTGGGGACCCGCGCCTTAGCCGCCAAGGGGGAACAGAATCGGCGGACAGACTTGCCATTCTCGATACATCGATTCCCATGCTCCTAAACTTCCCTATGTGCTCCCATCTTGATTCGGTCGATGGCCATGGCTCCGTGTGCGGCTCCGGCGCTTGCAGGCTTGACTACCCTACACTTTCTTGTGTACGTTTCGCTATTCGAAAAGTGCCTACCCGCAAACGCCGGAACAATATCAAATGTCTGCTTCGATGTAATGTGTCGTAGATCCCCCGCGGCGGATCTAGGCCATTTGTGATTAGCTACTTTTGCGAGTAGTGGAACGCGTTCGTTTATTATCGCTCGACGAGGACACCTGGCACACCATTGGGAGGGGGGCGGGACGTGTGCCAGCGTCTGCACAGCTCCCTGCACGGGATCGACGTCGCATCGACTGCCCGTCCGGAGATTCAATCAATGGCGTCGACGACTCCTCCAGGGGAGGCGTAGGCGCTGGGTCAAGCCAGATCGCCCAGGCGGAGGGCCAGCTCGCCTCCCGAAGCACGGAGAAGCAGAGGAGCGGCCAAGGCAAACACGATGGCAAAGGACCAGCAGCAGAATTGCGAAACCGCCGTCGAGAAGGAGCCCGAGATGGCAGTCGTCGGCCAAGGTTCCTGCGTGGCTGGGCCCACGCCAGCGCCGCTCGCCCGCCAGTCGACCGACTGTCAAAATATTTCGCGGGCAATTGCTCCAGGGGGGGCGTCTTCAAGTGCCGCCAGCAGACAAAATGCCAGCGCCACGGAGAACATGCCAGAGGAGAAGCTCAAAAAGAGGCCTGGCTTTTTTGTTTGTTTGCGAGCTTGCTCAACAGTATTGGTAAGAGGGTGGGCAAGACAAAACGGAAAGTGAAGAGCGACATGACGAGACGAAGGTACGCATGGGCAAGTGCGAGCAGTTCGGTGGATGAAATTGCGCCAACGGGATGATCCAAGATATCAAGCAACACCATTGAGGTCAGCGCCTCGACCACATGAGAACATACTTTGGTGGGAGGGGCGGTGCTTCGCCATCTTGGACAGAGCGGTGCAAACCAATGACCGAAGCGTTGCCGCATTGACCAGTGGCTTCGGCGACGCGCGTGAGGAAGGCCCCAGGAAGTGGATGCGTAATAATGTATGGGAGCTTTGTGCCCCCGCGCCTACGAATGCGCATTCGAGGGGCGATTTCAACGGCATTCTCTCCTTGAAGCTTCGCGCTGATCATGGGGGTGGGGGGGGGGGCAGGCGACCGCGTCCGCCCGGGAAAACGCGTTGCATTACAACGGCCAGAAAGTCAGAGTGAAACCGGACCCCTCTGGTCGAAAGGGCCCCACAATCATCGTCTTTTGCCATCGGGCGTTTTCTCTAGTGTTCCAGGCAAAGACAGGGGGGCGCGCGTGGCATAACATCCCGACCAGAGCCGCCGCGCTGCTTTGATCGGGCCCATCCGACGAACCAAGGGGCGCAGATCATCGATGCGAGGGCGGGCCCCTGCGAAGACGCTTTTTTTAATGGGAAAGGTTCGGGGCGAGCAGCGCAGACGCTGCGCGCCGTCGCTGTCCGAAGCAGAAACGAGAAACGACATTAATCGACGCAGCGGCAGCTCGCGGGGGGGGCGCGCGCAGCAAGCGAAGGGGGGTCAAAAGACTAGCCGCGGGGGCCGCCGGAATTACAAGATCCCTCCTTCAGTACAGGCGCCATTCACGCGACCCCAATCAGCAAGAGGCGTCTTCGAGAACAACGCAGAAGCATATCCGCTGGGAGCTCAGAAAGCAGGAGAGCCGACGTTTTCTATCTTTCCTGGGCGAATTCGTGGAGCTTGACCAGATCAACGACGCATCGAGATCGCTGGCGCGTTGATTCCAAGCTGACAACTGGGGCTTGGCTTACGTGCATGTACATGGCGGTTGTTTACGAGAGTGCGACCTTCCACTCTGCGGGGACATCGACGCGCCCTGGGATCGATGACGCATCCGGGGGGTCTGGGCGAGCGTGGGATGGCAGCGGGGGTGCCCAATGCATTTTCTTGTCCCGGGGCGCTTTCGTTGGCCTGTTCGACAGGGTGTTGCGCGGGGGTGCGATTGGCCCGACCTAGCGGCGTTCTCGATGCTATCAAAGACGGGTGACCTGCGCCCCCCGTTGGTTCGGATGCCTGTCGCAACGGTAGGAACGCATTGCGAACTCCTCGCGCGTCTGCAGCAGCGGCGTCTTGGCGGCGCGCTGGGCGCCCAGCAACCAGAAGACCGAGTTGGCTGCCGAAGGAGGCGATCGGCCGGCGACGCCTTCATCGACATCCGAACGTGCGCGCGGGAAGCTTTGGCGTGGAATGTTCCCGCGTGGCGATCGATTCTTGGCCCGGGCAAGGCTTCCGACCGCGCGTGGATTCCAACTTCTGCTCGAGTCGGTCTGGAGCCGCAGGGCGGGGGGCGAGTGTGTTGCCGCGCTTTCTGTCGCCTGCGCAAGCTAACGCGGGCGGCTTCGGGGCCCCCGCCGCTGCGAGTTCCAATGGGGTGTCGAGCAAGGCCGGATTCTGAGCCCGCGTCGCCCCGCTGCGGGGTTCGAAGCTGCACTTCGTGAGGGGGGGCGCCTCTGCGTTGATGCTGGGGGCGCGTTGAAAAAAGCCTCCGGCGCGCGGGTTGCATCGCGTTCTTCGCTGCGTCAAGCGCGGATCCTATGGGGGTGGCCGCGGCGCCCCAGGAGGAATTTGCGAGCGCAGACCACAACCCGGACGCCGCCAAGGCCAAGGTGCTCGGGGCCATCTGCGACGTCGACGCGGACCCGCCGGGCGTTGGAGGGGGGCCCGCGAGCGCCGCGGGCGGCGACGTGGCGCGCGCGCATTTATTTGGGAAGGACGCTGCGCGGCAACGTTCCGCCGGGTAGCCCGCGCGAGGTTAACGTGCCTTCGGTTTCGAACGGCGCGGGTGACCAGCGCTTTTTTGGGCAGATAAAGTTCTTCAGTGCAGTGATCGCGCCAGCGCTGCCGCTCGGCCTTTTCGTCTCGCGCAACGACGCTGGCAATGATCAGCTCTGTGGACGCGCATCAGTGAAGGATGCTTCGGGCCAGTATTTGGTTGGATCTGTCTGGAGGACGACCATCGGAATGGCGCTTTGCGAAGGAAGAGGCTGGAAGTCGATGCGGCTTTAACATCGTGCCCAATTGCAGACTGAAGCGTCCAGTTGCTATGGCGGCAACTCAGGCTGGCTCATCGAGTGAGCGCCATGGCGGACAGCTAGCCTGCAATCGCATCGCTCTGGCGCCCACCTGAAGCGCTTCCTGGGACGGAGCGATCGCGCGGACGACCCTCTGCGAGATGCGTGGATTGCATGCGCGAGTTTGCAATTGAGTATTTCCTTGCCGAACGGTACGGAGCGAGCCTGGCCAACAATTCTCTCGAGCACGAAGAGTTCTCTTGTTTTTTTCATTCGGTCTCCAACAGCGACGCCTGTTGTCAATGCAGTCGCGTCCGATTCTGGGCCGAGCATTGACTCGGTCGGACTGCCAGCCGGCCCCCACAGGCTGGGTCCAACTGGCAGGCAGGCCCCTCTCCGTCGCGGTCTTGCCGGGCGGAAAGTTTTGAAATCGAAGTGTGTATGGGTGCACCTGTCGCGGCCCCGCTGGTCGTTGCCGCGACGTTGGCCAACCGACGCAGCGATGCATTAAACATCCGTTTGACCACCCCCCTTTTGCTGTCGCATTTACCAGATGGCGCTCGGCGCATACTCACATTGATTTGTCTACGGCGCGCCCATCGCTATCGCGCCGCGAACGTCATACAATTTTCTTGGAGGGCAAACACAGTACTACAGCATTTCCCTGTCGGGCATCGGGTATCCAGCATGGACGATTTTACGGAGCGGGAAGTACGCGGAGCCGGGTCGCCCCCTCGCGTCGGCGGGGGGTATTTTCAAATTCTCCCGAAAAGAAAAACATGTATACGTTGGTGGTCGCAGTATCAAGCATCTTGGTAGCAGTGGCGGTGTCAGCCGTAGATGCACTTTGCGACGAGGCGGCAACCTGACTGGACGACAACCCGGAAAACCTATGCAGCGCGCGAGGGCGCCACGAGGCGGCGACCGGCGGCGACCCGACGAAAATCACGAGCAGCCAGCCAGCCCGCGGAGCAGTGACGAGGCGGCGACGCGCGGCCACAACAACCCGGCAACACACAGCAAGGCGAAGGGGCCGCGGCGGCCCCGGAAAGGTTGGCCCGCGATTGGAGTGGTGCGAGGCGGCGACCGAACGAACATTTAGGAAGCCCAGTCCGTTACACATAATACCATTTTGATGATGTTGTGAATGCGCCGTTTGAGGAACCCGAACCATGACGTCGGTGGAGCCGCGCAAGACCGCACGGCAGGTAAAAAAGTGTGCCACGACTATTGGATGGAGCGGTTCGGTTTCTTTTGTTTGGCCTTTGCATCGCTTGTTTCAACAGTGTTATGCAGTTGCCTCGGGCCAGGAACGGTGGCACACCTGAAGGTTGGAAGCGCTACAAAGTCCCGGGCAAAGGGGAGGCGCTCGTTGCTTTTGTTCTTCCTCCGCGTCTTACCGAGATTTCTTACCGCTGTCCTCGTCTTCACCTTCCTCCGGTTTCTTCATCTGTCATTTTCATGCGTTCGACGTTGTCTCTAGCAGTTGGTTTGCCGTCTTCGTTGTTTGATCATGTTGCGATCACTTGTTGGTAATGTTGTCCAGCTTCCGTTCTGAACATAGCAGTACGTGTTTGTGTGGATGGACGGCGATGTTTGCATGACCGGGAAGGAAAATGTCCACGAGCATACCGTTGATAGGCTTTCGGTCGGGAAAAACGTTGGACTCGCATGAGGCAAGACGGGAATAGTGTAACCCTTGCGGCAGAACCGTTAGGCTGCACAATCAAACAGTAAGGAGGGCTTTCATAACACGGGAGAACACACGGGAGACCGTACGGGAGGCTGTACGTACGCACAGCAGACAATTCGGTAGACCAGCTGGAAGGAATTTTGTGTCGCCGCGCCGTTTGTTCCGGCGCGCGGCCGTACGTCTTGGGGAGGGCGCCTCGGCCACCAGGGCAAACTCCGCTTCGGGACGCGAGGTTCGCCGTGTGTTTGCTGCGCTGCCGGCGTCGTCCCTTTTTGGGGCGCGGGGCGCAGGGTTTGCCGTGAGTTTGCCGTGGTGCCAGCGGCGTCGATTTGGGCTCGTCGAGGGCAAGCGGCGTTGTGACATATAGGATGTTCACAGGCAAATTGTTCATTGGTTCAAAATGATGAACCGGTTCTCAGGCGAGTGTGGTTGCGTAGGATGTCGCATTTGCCCCAATTTTCAGGCCATTGCCCGCGAGGTTCGAATCTAACCAACATGTGAAACCCCACCCCACGCCTCCACATCCCGGGGGGTTATTCAATTTGTGAGAAGAGTTTGGGGAAGAGAGGGGGGCGGATGAGAACGGAGGAAGATGATATCATTCTTCATTCTTGTTTCTCCTCCTCCTAGTTGCTCGTGTCGTCCTACGCCCCTGGCCCACAGTTTAAGTCACCAGACCGCGTGCCACCCTCTGTTGTTTCTCTCTGTGTGTCTTCCTTTGCCGCGTCCGTTTCCCCCGTCCGCGGTTTTTGTTCCATCTCCCCATCCCAGCAATCTTTGCCGCACTTATTTCCAGTACCCCGATGCCCGCCCAACTTGGCCGACAGTATCGTCTATACCATCCGCCTTAGCATAGGGCATGGTTGAGCTAATGTTCGAGGTTACACGGCCTGACTACATATTCAGAGGATGGGTTGCCATTCGTCAAGTACCCCAATCTTTTCTGCTACTTGGTTGCCCGCCCGTTCTGTCTTTCTTGCGGCCCCAGCCCTTCAGAGAAGATCCCAGCGCACTCAGTACCACTCTTCGTGAGTCCACTTGCTTGACAGAATCGCAAGCGTGTTTGGTTATAGTTTCTAGCTTTGGGCGCTCCAATGGGGGGTAATCGTTCCCCCAACGGGCACCCCCATCCACACGTGGGACGCACACACCCAATGTGATTGCCACAGCCGCACGCGTCCTCTAAGTTCTAGTGCGGTGCGACACCCTGGGGGAGCAAGCACTGCCCACGGGGCGCCGACTCCGTAGTGCTGATATCAACAGATGCAGCTTGTTTCGATACATTTACTTATTAGGCCAGCCATTTACCTATTAGCTCAGCCACATTTACATGCATTCCATAAATTTACCCTGTTTCAGTACATTTCAATACATTCACACGCTGTGGTATTTCGTGGCCGCCACTTGGGCGTCGCCCCTTGAGCTTCAAGCGTTGACACTCTGAGTGTCCAGACTTGGTTCCGGTTTCAGGCTGTTCTTTTTGGGTCATCTTGGGCAGCAATGCGCGACCGTGTCGCCATTCTTGGAAGCGACGGTCAACACATCGACCCCGTGGGTTTGTTCAGCGGTGGCATGCCTTGCAATTCTGCAGCCTCGCAGCGTCTCCTCTCAGACAGGGCCCTGGGCACAGTGTGAAGATGGTGTGATGGGCCAAGTTTCCACCACCACCATAGGTGTAGGACGTGGTAGGAGGGAGGACTGAGAGGCTCTCCTCCTCCTCCTCCTCCTCCTGCCTATGGCAGTGGTGGTGGGAAGTTGGCCCATGAGGGTGGGGTGAGGGCCATTTTTCTGCGGCGAGCGAGGGGGGGAAATGAGAAGGAGAAGGCCTTCCCAGAAGGCCGCGGGACTTCTCAGAAGCCCTCGCGCCTTCTCAGAAGTCTTCTTTGTCTTCGTGGAAGGCCCGGGAAGCGTCTCGGAAGGCTCGGGGACTTGCGAGCCTTCTGCGAAGTCATCCTCCCTCTCACTTCCCCCCCCGCGCTCGCCGCCGCGGGGTGAGGACCACTTTGGGCTCACGAGGGGCTCTGGTTGCCGTGCCGCGCCCCCGGCTGCAGGAGATCAGGGCACCTCCGCGTGGCCGAGGCTCGCCGTGGGCCAGCAGCGCCCCGGTCGGCGTTCTGCGCGGCAGCACGATGCTCAGGAGGGGGAAAACCGCGCACAGGCACAACGAATCGTCGACTCCCCAGAACATATTCGAAAATATAGGCAGTTGGGGGGGCGAAGGCGACAACTCAGAAGATATGGGAGCAGAAGGGGATCCTGGGATTTGCGTGCATTTCTTGTTATGTCCCTGGGCCCTTTCAGATGATTGTATCCTCCTCCTCCTCCTCCTCCTCCTCCTCCTCCTCCTCCTCCTCCTCCTCCTCCTCCTCCTCTCTGACCCCCCTCCTCCCGCGGAGCACGAGGTGAATGTTGCCTTCGGGCGTCAGTGCTAGCTTCCTCTGGCGCTGGCGGGGAGGATCTCCCAAGGACCCTGGAAGAGCGCACTGCTCGGAAGGGCTCGGACGATCAGTCGCAGCCCTCCGATGGCGAGGTGTTCTAGCGCCTCTGACCCGCCACTCAGGCCAGCCACCACGAGGAGGACGAGGAGGACGAGGAGGACGAGGAGGAGGAGGAGGAGGAGGAGGAGGAGGAGGAGGAGGAGGAGGAGGAGGAGGAGGGGAGGGGAGGAGGAGGAGAGGAGGAGGAGGAGGAGGAGGAGGAGGAGGAGGAGGAGGAGGAGGAGGAGGAGGAGGAGGAGGAGGAGGAGGAGGAGGAGGAGGAGGAGGAGAGGAGGAGGAGGAGGGGAGGGAGGAGGGGGGAGGAGGAGGAGGAGGAGGAGGAGGAGGAGGAGGGGGAGGAGGAGGACGAGGAGGAGGAGGAGGAGGAGGAGGAGGCGGAGGAGGAGGAGGAGGAGGAGGAGGAGGAGGAGACCACCCTCGGAGCAGGAGGCGCGAGGATCAGCCTCCCGTGCCCACTCCTCCCGCCCCGAGCGCTCCCGTGCGCACGGGAAAGCTTGCGTGGAGGGTGCAGGATGGGGGAGGATCGGAGGGACCAAGGGGGGGGAGCATGGACGCGCTCCCTCGCTAAGTCGGGCGGGGTTGGCTTCGCGACTCGGGAGCTACCTTCCCCGATCCGTTGACGCGGCGGCCTTGCGCCACATCCACGGATTCCTACTCATTGTTCATTTTTAGTTCTTCAAGAGTTCCTTGATTTTCTGGGGGCCAAGATCCTTTCATGTTCAATTCTTCTACCATGGGCCTCTTCCTAACAATTAGAAACGGGCCGAATTAGAAGTGAGCACGGTTAGAAACGAACGACGTGTAATCCATATTTGTGTGTGTTCTCCTGGGGTTCATGGGGCCCTCCTCAGAAGCACGCACACGTGATTTGCATATCTAGCCTCTCGCCGCGCTTCGGTCGGGGCGCGTGGCCTGTGCGCGGGTCGATCCGGAGCCGGCCTCTCTCGAGCAGGCCTCGAGTGGCATGTTCTGCCTGGCTGCATCGTAACTCATCAGTTCAAGACGTCACTTTGAGCCCAGAAGGGCGTACAATTCTTTGGCCGCTGTTCAGGTCCAGGTCGGGGAACCTCTTCCGGGCTAGGACAGGGATACATCGTTCTAGAGCGTCTCGGAACTCTCTCAGAGCGTTCCGCAACGCTCTGAGAAGACCGTGGCACCAGATACATTCTCCAGAATCATTGGATCTCAGAGATTCCAGATTTAGCCGACGGGCTCGTTTTCGCCGACGCTGCCGCGCAAGCTGGCCGCGTAAGGTCGCGCGTGCGCGCCCCTGTCTTCAGTGTGGCGTGCCGCGTTGGTGGCCCGCGTAAGCCGCGGCGGAAATTCGCTATGCCATCTCGCGTACCGTCGGAGCCTGTCAGAAGGACGCGTGGCGAGGACGCGAGACCCGTGGAGGCCGACGCCGGGGCAGCTGGGGCGCCCGCCCCACAAGGGTACCCTGAGAGGCCGGCCAATGGAAGTGGCAGAGGACGGGGCGCAGGGGCAGGGGCAGGAAGGGACCCAGGGGTACAGTAGGGGTCTTGAAGAAGGAACCCTTTTCGTTGGGGAGGGGCTCGATGTTCCTTAATTGTTTCACAGCTTGCCGCAGGTTCCCCTTATGTTTTCGACAGGAAATCGAGGTTGAACTTATGGAAAAAAGGGGCCTCGTTCCTTATTTAGGGTTCCTTCGGTCAACGCCCCGACTGTAACCCCATAGAGCAGGCGCGCGTCCTCATCGTGGGCACTGGCCGTAAGACCCGTGTTTGATCCTCGCTCCCATGGCTTCGCCCTGCAGCTCGCGGCCGAGGCGCGCCGTGGCCAGGGTCGCGGGTCTAGAGGTCGACAGCAACACCAAGATCGGCGGTGTGCATCCCACCGAGTGAAGAAGATCCCGATCTTGGTGATGGCGGTAATATCCTGGCTTTCAAGGTGGCCGAAATAGTACCACCAACGCCGAAATCTAAGTTCATCTTCCCCCCTGTGGAGGCAGCCCCCTGTGCTGGTGCTGGTGCCCATGTTCAGGCCCCCGCGACGTTGCTCCGGCGGGCCCCTGTCACGGCAGGGGCGGCCTCCTCCTGCCCTGCAAGAGGGCGACGGGCCGGGCTCCCGTGGTGCTCGTTGCGGGCTCGGGAGCCCTGAGACGGGCGAGGAGGAGGAGGAGGAGGAGGAGGAGGAGGAGGAGGAGGAGGAGGAGGAGGAGGAGGAGGAGGAGGAGGAGGAGGAGGAGGAGGAGGAGGAGGAGGAGGAGGAGGAGGAGGAGGGGGAGGAGGAGGAGGAGGAGGAGGAGGAGGAGGAGGAGGAGGAGGAGGAGGAGGAGGAGGACAAGGAGTAGGAGGAGGAGGAGGAGGAGGAGGAGGAGGAGGAGGAGGAGGGAGAATGGATGGAGGGAGGGAGGGAGGGAGCGAAGGAGGGAGGGAGGGAGGTCCATGCTCAGGAGCGGAAGACGGACGTGCAGTGGGGGGCCCATGCTAAGAAGCACCCTGTTTGCCTCACGGTTGCCCTGGGTTTCTCGGGTTTTGTTGGTTCTGCGATGGAAGGCGTGACGTTCCCACACCAAAAATCAATGGACGTCCTGGGGTCTCAGGGTTTGGTTTTTTGGGGAAGGTTCGTATGGTCGGGCATCCACTGTACACGTACATGAATCCACGTTGGTTTCGAGAGTACGCGTAGCGCGAACATTCGTATCACGCGGCTGGTCTCGCTGACACTGGGGGGCCATGCTCAGTGCGTGGGTGGGCGCCGACGCCCTTTGTGGACTCCCTCCATGCAAACGGGGGTCCGCCAGAGCGCCGGATCTTGCAGGATCCTGCAGAGCCACGGGTACATTGACCCTCCTGGGTCGTTTTGGAAGCTTTTGGGGCCGTCTTGGGGCCCTCCGGCCGTTGTGGGCCTTGCGAAAGCCCAAGAGGCGGATGTGCTAAAAATGGACGTGCTCCCTGGGGAGAATGGCGATTTTTGCTTCTGGGGGGCCTCTGGGGACGCCTCTTGGTGGCTTCTTGGGGCGCCTTGGCGGCCGACGGACCCCGGGCCTGTGGATTGACCCCGGTCGGCAGGAGCCCGACGGGCGCGGGGGCACGCGTGCTTTTTGCGTGGGCCCACGGGGCGGCCTCGAAGGATGAGCTGCTGAGCACTTTCGTGCAAGCCCCTTCCTCTCCCCCCCCGTTCTAGCGTCGGGGGTCTGCCTCACGAGGCTCCCAAGCGAAATGGGTACGGAAAGAATGGGTACTCCAAATTTCGTAATAAAAGGGAGGGGGTCTGGACCCTCCAAGACAAGCCATTTCAGACCTCCCCCGTGGGAGAACCCTCCAAAACATCGTCCCCAGACCCCCCCAGGCCCTCCAAGATAGCCTGGAAGAGACCCCCCCCGAAATGAGACCCCCCTCCCTTTATTACGAAATCTGGAGTACAATGCCCAACAGCAGTTCCTGCTCATTTTGAACAGGACTCTCTGTCCGCGCCGCCGCGGCCTGTGTCCATTCGAGGCAGAAGGCCGCCTGCCCAGCAGCGGCCGCTGTTGGTTTGGGACAACATTTGTTGTTGGGCATTGTACCCATGTTTTCCGTGCCCATTTCGGACGTCCAAAGCCTGGCTCACCAGAATCGGAGGTTGATAGACCTCCTACCCTGACACGGCGATCAGCGAAGTGGCCGTATTCGGTTCGCGAGAGGGCGTCGCGGCCGTCGTTTCTGCGGGTCCAGGTCCGCCGGTTTCGGTCCTGGACCGTTTTCACGAAAGGGAGGTTTACTAAAGGGAGGTTTGTCCACCGCCGATAACGGTGTTTCGCGGCGCTGAAGTCTCAGGCAGGGCTTTCGAAAAGTTGTCTTCCAGGGGGCGTTTCCCTCAGTGGGAAAAGATCATTGCAAGGGCATGCGAAGAGGGCACTTGGAGGGAGGCTTCATTGCGATATCGTTGATGAGTCGTGGGTTTGCATGGGTCGTTCGCCTTGTCCCTCTCTTCCTCTTCTTCCGTGTCTCGACGTGCGTCTGCTCCACGCGCTGGTTGAGGAAGGAACGTTCTTTCAAATGCAACTTTTCTTTCGGTGCCTCAATGGTCGCATCTTTAGGTGCCTCATATAGCGTAGCGGTGTGGCAGCATCCGAGCGTTAATGTTGGCAGTTGAGGCTAGGTCTCCGCTCTCACCTTCGCCCCTGGCCAACTCCCAAAGGATGTGCCAACGAGTGCAGCAGGCACACGGGCGCGGCAGGAACCTCTCTAATGATCCTCGCCCAGGGCGGGCGGAAAGGAGGAAAGGGATCCCAGATGTCCGCCGATGTTGACCCCAGGTTTCCTGGCCGCCTCACTGGGAGTAGTTGTAAGTCGGGCCTGTCCCTCTACAGGAGGAATAGTCGAATATATTTTGTACATATTTGGAGGGCGATTGTTCCATTAGTTGTTCATGATGTTTTGCATATTTACTGAGTATTCCTGACTTGTCATCAAAATCCGCGTGTGTGGGGACATGCCCGACCTAAGAGTAGTATTCCGTCCTGGGTTAACTTATGGTTCCAGAGCCCGAATAGAAAACGCCTGCTGACAAAATTCACGTCGCCGGAGAGGTGCGAAGGCTCCCGGTCCTAGACTCCCGACGTCAAGAGTTGTCCCCAACGTCGACGCCCAGAGGTCTCGAGCCACTACCCTGGGAGCGGTGGTTCGGCCCGAGTCGTCTTCCCACGGCCCAGAGGCCCGGGACGGGCCACCCGAGGCCGACAATGGGGAAAAACCCGAGGCCGACAAAGAAGGGTGGACTCCGCTGGCGAACGCCTGTGGAGACTTCTGGGGCCGCCACTGTCGGCGCCCACGGGGCGGCGGAGCGACAGCGGTGGTTGTCCGAGGGGGCACCCGCTCTTCGGGAGATCTGATCCTTCTCCAGAGCCTCTGCGCGAGGACTGACCCCTTCAAAGCTTCAAAGCCCCTTCATGGCCCGGTGGGGGCGCCCGGCGCGCAGATGTGGTGGAACCCCAAGACCAAGCGGATGCAGCGCGGGGCGCCGGAGCAAGAGTCGCCGGAGCGCCCCCGAGCACGCGCGCGTGCCAGCGCCGCGCCGCCCCGTGGGCTCGGGGAGGTGGCGCCCCGTGGGGCCCAGAGGGCCTCTTGGAGAGGCTTCAGTCGGGCCTGGCCCTCTACAGGAGGAATAGCCAGACATCGTAAACAAAATAGTCTGGGGACGATGCTTTCAGCATTTGTTGCGTATGTTTGACCATTTTGGGGGGCAAAGTTTGACTTCTCCTCCGGTTGCCGCCTGTAGGGGGACATGCCCGACCTAAGGAGAGGCCCTCGGCGGCCTTGGGAGGTCTCGCAGGGCCACCGCGCCCTCGGAGGGCTCGCCTCCCCCTTCTGTTGTCGGGGGTGGACCGGCCTCCTACCCCGACACGTCGATCAGCGAATTGGCCGTTTTCGGCTCGCGGGAGGGCGTCGCGGCCGTCACTTTTTCGGGTCCAGGGCCGTCGGTTTCGGTCCCAGGCCGTTTCGACTAAGGGGGGGTTCGCTACAGGGAGGTTTGCCCACCGCCGATGATGTTGCATCTTTGGTGAGCCTCGCCTGTGCCCCAAAACTGGTGTCTCTTCGTGTCCCTGGCGCAGGCTCGATGCGGGCTCGATGCGGGTTTGGCGCGGGTTCGGCGCGCATTCGAAACGAATTCGACACGGACCCGAGGAGTCAGTCCGACTCGGACGTGGATCCGACGCGGACAGGACCGCGATGAGACAGACAAGGTCCTCCGAGGATGCAACATAAATCTCCCCCTGAGAATGTTTTCGCGCCGGGCGCTTTCGCCCGTCGGTTGCGGGCCCCCAGGGCCATCACAGATCGATCCAGCTCGCCTCAGAGAGGCAATCCTCGGGTCGAGAGGACGGTGCTGGGAGAAGGGATCAGATCGTCCGTACTAGCGCGTATGACGGATGGGCTTCTCACACCGTCGTTGCCTTGCATCTTCCCGGCCCCTCCCCCCCGACACGAGAATGGCTCTCCTCTCGCAAAGTGACGTTGAAAGGTGGGCCTGGGGCTCCGGTTGCGATCTCTTGCGATGCTGCAATCTTTGTGCGCCGCGTCGGCTCTCAGGGTCTGAGGGCCTTCGGGAGAGCGCCGAAGGCCCTCCGGAGGCCAGCGGAGGCATTCCGAGGGGCGCTGTGCGAGGCAGGCCCCCCAAGACGGTGCCGAGGCATCCCGGAGACGCCCCCGGGCCCCCCCTCGCTCGGGCGGGTGGCAATGGGGGGTGACCTCAGTGGGAGGTGTGAAGAACAAGGCCCCAAAGTGGCCCTGTTTCTTCACCCCCGATTCATCGGCGGCGAGCGAGGGGGGAAGCGAGAAGGAGGAGGCGTTCTCAGAAGGCGGCGGGACTTCTCAAAGGCCCTCGCGCGTTCTGATAAGTTGTTGTGTCTTCGGGGAAGGCTCAGAAAACTGCTCGAACCTTCTGAGAAGGCTGGCCTTCTCCTTCTCACTTCCCCCCTTCGCTCGCCGCCGAATCTAGGTCACCCCATATCTCCACCCGCCCGAATTGCGCTTCCAGATCGACCCAAGGATTCGGAGCGGATGTCGGAATGGCCTCGAGAGGCCCCCCCAGGAAGTCCAAGCAAGGGGGGCCCGAGTCCGTCGCTAGCCCCCTCGGCCCGATCGATGGGTCGATTGGGCAGGCGATGGGCCAGATGCGTCTCTCGGTGCCCGGAGCCGTGATCCTCCTCCTCGGCCTCCTTACCATCGTTTCTCTTCCTCCTCCTCCTCCTCCTCCTCCTCCTCCTCCTTTATTCTAGGCCTCCCATCTAGGATCGGAGCAGATGGGATCGGAGGATCGCGCCGCATCGCCGATGCATCGCCGATGCGGCCCGATGCGGAGCCCCATATGCTTCACGTCGACGTCGCCGATGCATCGCCCACGTCGACGATGCATCGCCAATACATCGCTGGTGCATCGCCGATGCATCGCCGATGTATCCCCGACCCCATCTCCTCCGACCCCATCTAGGAGGCCTTTCTTATCCTGACACTCCTCCTCCTCCTCCTCCTCCTCCTCCTCCTCCGCCCCTTCCTTGTTCTCCTCCTCGTTCTTCTCACTCTCCCTCCTCTGCCCTCCTGCTCCCTGCTCGTCCAGTCGAAGTACATGGGACAGCACGGCAGACTGCCACCAGCTCATACAGCCAGTGTGGCTCGACGCGTTGCTGGCATGCCCCGATCCGCAAACCTGCGCTCCCCTTGCATTCGACATCGGTTTGCGCTGGATGGCATCGGTGCGTGACGCTCGGTTGCCACGCTTGCGGGTTCCACTCATGCCATGCGGCTGGGTACGTTTGGATACTCCAGATTTCGTAATAAAGGGAGGGGGGTCTCATTTCAGGGGGGGGGTCTCTTCCAGGCCATCTTGGAGGGCCTGGGGGGGTCTGGGGACAATGTTTTGGAGGGTTCTCCCACGGGGGGGGGGTCTGAAATGGCTTGTCTTGGAGGGTTGAGACCCCCTCCCTTTTATTACGAAATCTGGAGTACGTTTGGATAGCGTGTCGCTCCGCCAATTCTGGCCCACCACGCTTCGGCGCGACACGCGATCCGCTGCCCAGTCCCAAGGCATCAGCCTTTCCGAGCCTTTCCGAGCCTCTCCGCTCGCAGAGCGTAGCGCATCGCCGTGGCCGCCGCGGCGGAGCGCGCTCAGCAAATGACCCCGATCGTAAGTGTACGTAGCGCCAATGATATCGTATACCGTACTCCAGATTTCGTAATAAAAGGGAGGGGGTCTGGACCCTCCAAGACAAGCCATTTCAGACCTCCCCCGTGGGAGAACCCTCCAAAACATCGTCCCCAGACCCCCCCAGGCCCTCCAAGATAGCCTGGAAGAGACCCCCCCCCGAAATGAGACCCCCCCTCCCTTTATTACGAAATCTGGAGTATACGCAAACTTGCAGATATACGCACGTGTGTGTATACGGGTTCTGTGAATTTGTTCCGGTCTATCCCACCACCGCGCCCGGGATGGAGGCAATTTGATCCTCCATCACAGCATCTAACGATGGATCTTGTTGGGCGGGGTGGGGATGAGCGTTTCGGGAGGTGCGAGGAGGATGAGGTGGAGGTGGATGACGGCAAGGGGGATGCGGATGGAGCAGCACGACAGTCAGGAGGGAGGAGCACGGAGGAGCACGACGGGAATGAGGAAGAGGAGGAGGAGTGCCGCGAGGAGGACTGATGCTAGGAGGAGGGCCTCACTCCGCCACGCGCAAGGAGTGAACTCTCGCCAGAGTGGCCTCTGGTGCGGGCTCGCGGGGGGCCCCCGAGCGCCGAATGCGCTGCCATAAGAAGCGGCCTGCGCTCTTGGGCCCGCCCCGCGCCCCACCTCCCGCGCCACCCCCCAAAAGCCGCGCACCAGCCGCCGCTCTTGTTTGTGGAGCACTCTTGCGCGTCGCCGATGCGTCATCCCGGCCCTCCCAGCCATGCCGTCTGCGGCGGCAGCCAGGGACGGCGATTGGAGAGCCTTGGCATCGCTCGGACGTGTGCATTTTTCCTTCGGCGAGGACCATCGAGGAGCATCCTTGATCATTTGGCGAAAAGGCCACGCACGAAACCGAATTATTCACTGCGTGGAGCTCCCCATATGTGCATCTACTCGCATGGACCTGTCCGCCGTAAATGTCTAGGCGCAAGAGCTTTCGAATATTAACGGGCTTCAGTTGTGACGGTCTGGACATCAATCTAACTGCGAATGAATTGGAGTGTGAATGAGCCTCAGTAGTACGAGCGCGTCTCTGTGCATGAGCCTGGGGCCTCCTGGGGCCTCCTGAAACCTACTGGAGCTTCCTGGGGTCTCCAGGAGCCTCTTGGGACTTCCTGGGACCTCCTAGGAAGGTTTCGTGCCCCAGGAGAGGCGCAATCTATAGCAACCGACGTACATAAAACATTGCGGATTAGAGCCACAGGAGAAGGGTAATCTATAGGAACACGCGTAAAACCAAGGACTCGTGCCCCAGGAGAGGCCCAACATATAGGAACATGAGTAAAACATTTAGGATTGTGTACACAGGAGAAGGACCATCTATAGAAACATACGTAGAACATCAAAGAATCGTGCTCCAGGTAAGGCCCAATCGATAGGAGCATACGTAAAACACATGGGATTGGAGCCACTCCTGTTGCCTTCTGAGGCCTCCTGCTCCTGGGGCCTCTCGGGGCCTCCTGTTGCCTTCCGAGGCCTCCTGGCGCTTCCTGTTGCCTCCTGGGGCCTCCTGTGGTTTCCTGAGGCCTTCTGGAGCTTCCTGGGGCCTCCTGGAGCCTCTTGGGACATCCTGTGGCCTCTTGAGTCTTTCTGTGGCCTCCTGATGCCTCCTGGGACCTCATGTGGTCTCCTGGGGCCTCCTGGAGCCTGTTGGAGCCTCCTGTGGCATCCTGAGAAGAATCTGCGCCCACGAGCCTGGCCACCAAAACAAGCAAACCGATCGAGACATCCTCAAAATCTGGCCCACCTGGGGGGTGAAAATGAGCGCCTCGCTCGAGACATCCTCCAAATCTGCTCCGAAAGCGAAGGATGTTGGGCCCAGAAACAAGCAAACCGCCTGAGACATCCCCACAAAATGGCCGCGAACGAGCCCGTGCAACCACCCCTGGCGGCTCCCCTTAGGGCCACGAGCCTGGCCACCAAAACAAGCAAACCGATCGAGACATCCTCACAATCTGGCCCACCTGGGGGGTGAAAATGAGCGCCTCGCTCGAGACATCCTCCAAATCTGCTCCGAAAGCGAAGGATGTTGAGCCCAGAAACAAGCAAACCGCCTGAGACATCCCCACAAAATGGCCGCGAACGAGCCCGTGCAACCACCCCTGGCGGCTCCCCTTAGGGCCACGAGCCTGGCCACCAAAACAAGCAAACTGATCGAGACATCCTCACAATCTGGCCCACCTGGGGGGTGAAAATGAGCGCCTCGCTCGAGACATCCTCCAAATCTGCTCCGAAAGCGAAGGATGTTGGGCCCAGAAACCAGCAAACCGCCTGAGACATCCCCACAAAATGGCCGCGAACGAGCCCGTGCAAACACCCCTGGCGGCTCCCCTTAGGGGTGCTGAAACCAGCGCCCCGCCTGAGACATCCTCACAATCGCTCTCCAAGCGAAGGATGTTGGGCCCAGAAACAAGCAAACCGCCTGAGACATCCCCACAAAATGGCCGCGAACGAGCCCGTGCAAACACCCCTGGCGGCTCCCCTTAGGGGTGCTGAAACCAGCGCCCCGCCTGAGACATCCTCACAATCTGCTCTCCAAGCGAAGGATGTTGAGCCCAGAAACAAGCAAACTGGGTGTGAGTAAGTTTGTGTATGAGTAAGTCAGTGTATGAGTATGTCTGAGTGTGAGTAAGTCTGAGTATGAGTAGGTCTGAGTATGAGTAAGTCTGAGTATGAGTAAGTCTGTGTATGAGTAAGTCTGAGTATGAGTAAGTCTGAGTATGAGTAGGTCTGAGTATGAGGAAAGAGGAGGAGGGGAGGAGGAAAGAGGAGGAGGGAGAGGGAGTAGGAGGCGTCCAAGTAATAACAAGAACCCCATCTTAGGATATGGGGAAAAAACACCAGGAATGGACGTCCGAGCGATGCCCAGGAGCAGGTGCGCCGATTGTGAGGGATCTTCTGGCGTGTTCTGGCGTCCGCCTCGCATGGCTGTCGCGTGGTTTTCAGCGCGGCCTTTCTCTGGAGGCTTCGCGGGGACTCTGCGGGGCATCTTCGGGCGGTCCGTCCTCTTGACCCCTCCTCGAAGCCCTCCCGCCCTCATGGGGCATTTGCGGCTCTTCCTCTCGGGGGGCGGCCACGGCGAGGCATGATTCCAGGGAGGAAAAACCACCCGGACCGGACAATTGGCGTTTACTAAACTCGGGGGCGGAAAAGAGGGGGGTGATGACTAGGGGGGGGTGGATATCATGGCGGGTGCCATGATATTTCCCCAGATCTCATGGCGCCCCTTCTTGTTTCATTACATACCTGGCCCCCCCGCCGCGGTCATGATTTGCACCCCCCCCCTCTTGGACACCCCCCTCTTGGCCGCTCCCGAACTAAACGGCTCTTGGCGTTTACTAAACAGCCTTGTCCTGTTTGATGCCTTCTGTGGGTGCGCTTACTGAACGGCTTCGCGTGTCGGGAGGGTCATTGTCGGGGTGGATTTTCTGCCTTCTAGTAGTGATGTCCCGGGGGGGGGTCATGGCTGGGGCCATGGATCATGGTATCTCCTCGGAGTCTTCTCTTCCAGCGTGACCCCTGGTCCCGCCTGGGCCGCGCACCTTGCCTCGGGCCGTGCTTTTTGCTACTCCCCCTGTTGGACGACCCCCCCCTTGGGCGCCCCCGATCTTCCGTGTTTCCTGGGGACTCCTAGGTTCGGATGCAACCCCTGGGAAGTCAGATTCTGTTTTCGCCCTGGTCCGAAATCCGGCTTTATCCAGCTGAATCCCGCTTAATCCGGCTTAATCCCGTTTAATCCCGCTCAATCCGGCTTAATCCTGTTTGGTCCGAGGCCTTTTCCGGCGTAACAGCTCCCAAGTGGGGCTAAATTCTTCTTAATTTTTCCTACGAAAACCTCCCAGTAGTTGCCTCCTGACCCTAGGGGCTCTCTTTTGTCTTTTGTCCCTGCTCGAGCACCTTCTGAATACCAATGAGCACGCTGGGGACCAAGTGCGACAAGACATCCGTCTTCACCACGTATGAATTGCAAGTCAATGTTGAGCCCATTGTGGCGACATTTGTGACCATGTCGCGCGCCGTGCGGCGGTGTCGCGACTTCGCTGTGTGGAGTCATCGTGAGGCAGGTATGGAGCGATTGTGCATCGACCTGCGTCCCCATGGTTCACTGAAGTATGTTCGATTTGTTTCTGGAACAAGAGCGCAGGCATTGCCGATTATTGAATACGCAGTCATATTACGTTGTGCTTGTGTGTGTGTCTGCTTGTGCATCACATACGGTGTTTGCATTCTAGCGCCGCGTCGAAGGAACATGCGTGTCTCTGCGTGTGTGTGTGTGTGTGTGTGTGTGTGTGTGTGTGTGTGTGTGTGTGTGTGTGTGTGTGTGTGTGTGTGTGTGTGTGTGTGTGTGTGTGTGTGTGTGGGGGGTTTCAGTTGCGTTTTGAAAAGGTGTGTATTGCTATGGACCCATCGCAAGGAAGCTGTAGACCAAGGTCTATCCCATATTCCTCCTATTTGGATCTGCTATGATTCGGTCTCGAGCCTGTTGTGAATCGATTGTGAAGCAATCGAGAGTTTATTGCGACTTCGACAAGCGAATCGATTGAGGTAATGGCTAGGTGGATGGGTGCATGATGTATAGAAACATGTGTGCCTGAAGACATTCAAACCAAGTGTGCATCCGCACTTCCGCGAGGCTCATCCAGAGCTGCAGTCTGGCCTACCAGGTCCATCCATCATGTTCAGGTGGCGTCATTCGCTGGCGCCACGGATATCACCCGACTCTCCGAGCCCGCCAACGTTCAGACTGCTCCCCCTCTCCCTCATCCATGCCCCTCCGTCCCCAAGCCCCCGACTTCGTGACTTTCTCGTGACGTAGGCCCATCAGAGGTCTGGACCCAGTCCTGATGACCAGGCTTCCTGGACCTGATCTTGTGTGGACGGTCCCAGGCCCAGGCCAGGCGAGAGCCCCCCGAGACGCCGGAAGTTGCAACAAGACGTCAGTCCGCATGGAATTGCTCGTGACGTCGGGGGTCTGTCAAGAGGGGGAAAAACCCAGACACAATTAATCGTCATTCCCAGGACAAGATGGGAAAGTATGAGAAGTGGAGGGGCAGACGAAAACCTGGAAAACATGGGAAAACATAGGGAATCCTGCTATTTGTGTCTATTTATTCGTGTGTCCCAGGGACCGTTCAGTCCGGGGTCGTCCTCCTGCCGTGAACGCGCTCACGGCGATGTGGGCGTCGGCACTGTGGGTGGCGGGCGGTGCGTGAAACCGGCTGTGGGAAGGCGCTGTTCGTGTGGTCCTACAGCTCGCCGTGCCGCCGTCGCTCGATGCGCTCGCGCACTGGGAACGCAGGAGAGCGTGTGGTTCGTGAGCTCCTACCGGTGTGGCTGCGCGAGCTCGGCGTCGCAAATGCAAACAACAAAAACACACACAAACACATTGTGTTTGATGTGTGTGTGCTCGATTCCCACAGTGTCTGTGGGTGTACGTGTGTGTGTGTGTGTGTGTTGATGTGTGTGTGTGTTTTTTGTGCGTGTGTGTATGTGTGTGCATGAGTGTGTGCTTGTGTGTCTGCGTGTATGTTGTGTATGTGTTGTGTGTGGTGTGTGTTGTGTGATGTATGTGTTGTGGTGTGTGTGTGTGTTTTGTGTGTTGCGTGTGTTATGTGTGCTGTTTGTATGTGTTATGTTGTGTTGTGTGTTGTGTGTTGTTTGTGTTGTGTAAGTGTGATATGAGTGTCGTGCTGTGTGTGTGTGTGTGTGTTGAGTGTGGTGTGTGTGTGTGTTGCGTGTGGTGTGCTGTGTGTGTGTCTTGTGTGTTGTGTGTTGTGTGTAATTGTGAGTGTTTTTAGCACGTTGTGTTTGTGTTTGTTATGTGTTGCGTGTGTGCTGAATGTGGTTGTGTGTGTTGTGTGTTGTGTGTGTCGTGTGTTGTGTGTAATGTGTAGTGCGTGTTGTATGGTGTGTGTGTGTGTTTTGCGTGTTTTGTTTGTGTTGTGTGTGTTGTGTGTGCTGTGCTCGTCTTGTGTGCTTGCGTGTTGTGTGTGGGTTGCGTGTTGAATGTTGTAAGTGTTTTGTGTGGTGTGTGTGTGTTGTTTACGGTGTGTGTGTGTTGTGTGTGCTGTGTGTGCTGTGTGTTGTGTGTTGTGCGTTGTGTATTATGTGTGTGGTATGTTGTGTGGGCTGTGTGTTGTGTTTTTGTTGTGTGGTGTGTTTGTTGTGGGCAGTGTGTGTGTGTTGTGTGCGCTGTGTGTGGTGCGTGTGATGTGTGTGCTGTGTGTGTGTTGTTTGTAGTGTGCGTTGTGTAGTTGTGTTTTGTGTGTTGTGTGTTGTGTGTTGCAAGTAATGTGTGTACTGTGTATGTTGTGTGTCGTGTGTGTTGTGTGTCGTGTGTTATGTGCGTTGTGTGTGTGGTGTGTTGTGGATGTTGTGTGTTGCGTGTGTGTGCGTGTTGTGTGTGAAGTGCTTTGTGTGGTGTGAGTGTTGTGTTTGTAGTGTAATGTGTGTGTGTTGTGCTTGTGTTGTGTTTGTGGTGTGTGTGTTGTGTGTTTTGTGGGTTGTGTGTTCTGTGTGTGTGTCTTGTGTGTTATGTGTGTTGTGTGTATGGTGTGTGTTGTGTGTGTTGTGTTTGTGTGTAGTGTGTGAATGTGTGTTGGAATGTGTAGGTAAGTGCGCATGTGTGTGTGTCTGATCCCCACCATCGCCGTTGACCACCATCGCCGTTAGCGTGGCCTGGGCCCCGCGCGGCCGGCAGGCGCAGCCGCACGAGCTCCCGCCGAAGCGGGAGCCGCCCCTGGCGCTGCTCGACATCGGCAGCTGCACCAACCCCTTTGTGGAGCACCAGTTCATGGTCGAGCCGCTGGCGCTGGACACACCCGGCGCTCAGAGAAAAGGAACAGGTACCCATATTGCTAGCTTTCGGCCGTTTTCCTGGTTCTGGGCCTCCTGGGAGGCCCTCGTCGCCACCGCTGGATTCGTCTCGCAATTCTGGTCAGGACGCACTCCTGGAGAGGTCCAGGGGTTAGCGGTATCCTTGCTTTTTGGTTTCCTTATTGCCGGCAGGCACAGGGGGGCAGCGGCACCTCACCGGCCGCCTGGCGGGCAACGGCCGTTCCCGGCGTTGCCTGTAAGGGATCAGCAGTATCCTGGCCGTCTCCTAGAATAATAGACGCACGTTTCAGGGACCCGCCTGGGGCCCAGCTGTAGCGGATCTGTTCGACACCAACTCGACTCAAGCTCGGCTCCAGCCGGACTCAAGCTCGACCCAAGGTCGACCCAAGGTCGACCCAAGTCGACGGACTTGCGACGCAGCACCGACGCATGAGTTCGGATGCAACTCCTGGGAGGTCAAATTCTGATTTTGCCCTGGTCCGAAGTCCAGCCTAATCCGGCTCAATCTCGCTTGATCCCGCTGAATGCCGCCTCATCCGAAGCCCGCTCTGGCACAACAGCCCCGCCATGGGGCGTGATCCTCTTTTACCTCTCCGGCGAAGGCCTCCCAGCAGTTGCTTCCTGACATGATCGGGAGCGGAAAAGAGGGGGGTGATGACCAGGGGGGGGTGGATAGCATGGCGGGGGCCATGATATCTCCCCAGATTTCTCGCGGCGCCCCTTTTTATTTCAGTGCGTCCCTGGCCCCCCCCCCGCTGGGCCGCGCACATGCCGCCGGTCATGATTTGCACCCCCCCCCTCTTGGACACCCCCCTCTTGGCCGCTCCCGACATGAGTGGGCCCGGTGTCTCCGGGAAGGCCCCCCGAGAACGAGCCTCCAGTCCAGCGCCGCGCCGTCGGGGCGCCGGCGGGCTGGCAGGCGTCCCGGCGGGCTGCAGGCCATGCGGGCCGCACCTCTCTCGGGCGCTGCGAGAGGTGCCCCATGGCCTCGTGGAGGACTCGGGTCGGGCGAAAGGGGGGGGTTGGGAAAGGGGGGGTTACAAAATTTGCTGCATGCAGCTGGTTTCGGCCCCACCGAGGGGCCCATTCCTCGATACATAGGGGCCCATTCCTCGATACATGGGCGCCGGGAGGCGCCGGGAAAATCAGCTACGTGAGCTGATTCTCAAACCCCCCCTTTGCTATCCCCCCCTTTCGCCCGACCCGAAGGACGATCGATGGAGAGGAAGCATGCTGCCACATAATTCCCAGATGTCGAAAAGATGTTTCAAACATGTTTTAGTCAAGTAAAAAAACAGGTTTCAAACATGGTTGGGACACGGTTTCGGCAATTCGAACACATTTTGAATTCGATGATCGGACTGATAGGCGGTCCACTGTCGTGGCATCCATAACCCTGGCCAACACTGACAGCTTGGCGCTGCATTTTTGTTCCGCGGGCGATCTTGCCTTGTCCCAGGCCCCGTGACCCTCCCACCGATCTGGCTCGAGCAAGGCCCCCAGAGAGACGGTGTCCCAGGGGTTTTGGTTAAGCTTTCCCGCGATGCTGCAGTTCTCGTGTTCGCATCATCGCTACATAAGGAAGATCATCTCGGAAGCCTCGCGCGGCGCGCAATAGTTGAACTATTTAGTCCGCACGTCCGCTCCGTCAGATCTGGGTTGACGTTCGCGCGGCGATTTGCAAATGTAAGTCCGACGCAATCCCGTCCATACTACCATCATTATCATTGTCCTCGCCGTCGTTATCACAAGCATCATAGTCATCATCATCATCATCATCATCAGCATCATCATCATCATCATCATCATCATGACCACCACCATAATAATCGTCATCGTCATCATCTTCATGTTCATCTTCATCATCATCATCATCATCATCATCATCATCATCATCATCATCATCATCATCATCATTGTTGTCTTCATCTTCAGCATCAGCATCATAATAATCATCATCACCATCATCGCATTACCACCATTCGACTCATATTCAGTATCATCATATCCAGCGTCTTCACCTTCATTTGGGTGCTCAGCATCATCCTCCTCCTCACCATCATCATCACCATCAGCACTGTCATCAGCATCACCATCATCATCACCACCACCATCATCACCACCATGGACGTCATGGCCATTGCCATCACCCTCGCCTTCACCATCAGCATGTTCTTCATACACCTCCCGGCCCCGCTCCTCCCCCCCGAGAGGCCGAGCCCTCGCGCTGCCTCCCCCCCCCCCGCGCTACCCCCCACGTGCGCGCTGCACGGCCCGCCTCCCCCTGCCCTCCTTGCTTTCGGGCCAGCACGCGCTCAGGCCATCGGGCGGCGACGACGAAGACCACGAGCGGCAACGACGACGACGACGATTAGTCTCGACGAGCGACGTCGGGGAGGCCCAGGAAGGTAGAAAGCAGGGCGGACTCGCATTTCGTCCGCTTTCGTTTCGTCCTCCTTCGCTTCGTCCTCTCGTGCTCCCTCCTCTTTCCTCCTCTTTCGCTTCATCGTCTTTCGAAGCCCGGGCGAGCCGAAGCTGGGACAGCCGAAGCGGACGTTTCGAAGCAGACGAAACGATGCGGGCGAATTCAAGTTCGGACGAAATTAGGCGGAATCCAAGAGATGTTCCGGGTAGGCCAAGTGAGAGGCGAACGTCGTTCCCGCAGAGCCTTCCAGAGCCAGAGCGCTCCTCGCAGCGACCGGCCCGTCCTCCAGACCCGCCGGGGAGAGTCGGTTGTCTTCAGGCTCGGGCGAGGAGGGGCAGGGGGAGGAGGAGGAGGAGGGGGAGGGCGAGGGCGAGGGCGAGGGCGAGGAGGAGGAGGAGGAGGACAAAATGGGCAAGTTGACTTGGGCTTGGGGGCTGGCGCGAGGCGAGGCCCGAAAGGAAATCTGGACTTCGCGACGGACCTTCGGCCCAGCGCTCTTCGAGAACGCGGCGGAGGGGGGGGGGGTCGGGGGGGGGGATCACTGTCAAGGTGAACTCTCCCGGTTCTGGCGAAGAAAACGCTCCTGGATGGATAAAATTCCCGACGCGTCCCCAGTCCGATTCTCGGCGGCGAGCGAGGGGGGGAAGTGAGAAGGGGCAGGCCTTCTCAGAAGTCTCAGAAGTTCTCTGGCCTTCTGAGAAATTTCCTGAGCCTTCCCCGAAGACAGTCAAGACCTCAGAAGGCACCAGGGCTTCGGGAAATTCCGCCGCCTTCCGAGAGGGCCTTCTCCTTCTCACTTCTCCCCCTCGCTCGCCGCCAAGATCCGTCCTTCTCCTGCATGGATAAAGATGTGGACCTCCCCGGGCCGTCCGCCGACGGAGCTCTGGAACGGCCGCGCCGCCCGATAACATCCTCCGGATAGGCCGGATCGCAAAGATCTCTGTGGCGTCCTGGGCCGATGTTGTCCCAGTCTTGGCTCTGACTTGAGGAGGGCAAGAGAGAGAGACATGGGGGCCCAAAGAGTACACACCACCACCACGTCGATTCCTCCTCCCTCCTCTTTCCAGCGAGAGGGAGGGGGGGAGGGAGGTGGTGGTGGTGTATCTATTTGGGCCCCCTGAGAGAGAGAGAGAGAGAGAGAGAGAGAGAGCGATGGAGAGAGACCGCGGGGCCCGAGCTAACCCGTGCTCGACGTACGTTTATTGTCAAGGACAGTTGTTATAGCCATTTCGGGCACGCCGATATTTAGGACAATGCTACGCTTCTCGTTTGAAGCCGTTTGTACAGAAGGTGCCCAAGCGCTGGCACAGTGTGTTCGACAAGGCACGCGGACGTCGGGATCCTGATTCTGGCTCGCGCAACAGGACAGAGAGAATGACAGAGAGAGAGAGAGAGAGAGATGGAGGGAGGGGGAAGAAGAAGTAGGGCGATCGAACGAGTGCCGAACCATGGAGCGACGGAGGGGGACATCCACTCCTGAGCAAGGGATGGAGGGATCTAGGGGAATGTGTGAGGGATGAGACTGGCTGAGGGTGAAGGACGCGCGGGCAGGCGGATGGCCAGTCAGGGAGGGGTGTCCGAGGACGCCGTAGGGGACGGAAGGGAGTTGCGCCACGCTCGCGCGGAAAGGCATGGAAAGAGGAGAGGGAGAGAAGGAGATTACCCCAGTGCGACCCTAACCAGAAGTTGGAGCCCCTAGGAAAGCAGCATTAGTTGCCATGCCATGCCATGCCATGCTATGCTGCGCTATGCTATGCGATGTTATGAGTTGCTATGCTATGCTATGATATGCTATGCCATGCTGCGCTATGCTATGCTATGATATACTATGCTAAGCTATGATGTGTCATGCTGCGCTGTGCTATGCTATGATATGTCATGCTATGCAAAGCTATGCTAAGCTGCGCTATGCTATGGTATGATATGATATGATGTGCTATGCTATGCTTGGCTATGGTATACCATGATATGCTATGCTAATGCAGCACTGCGCTATGCTAAGCTAAGCTAAACTAAGCTAAACTAACCCTCTAGGCAGACCCATGCTATGCTCTGCTATGCTCTGCTATGCTCTGCTGTGCTGCGCTGTGCTGTGCTGTTGTGTGCTGCGCTATGATATGCTATGATATGCCATGCTATGCTGCGCTATGCTATGATATGCTGTGCTGCGCTATGATTTGCTACGCTATGCTCTGCTGTGCTCTGCTATGCTAAAGCTCAGCGAAGCTAAGCTTAAGGTAAGCTAAGCTAAGACACACCTGAGCTAAGATGAAGCTAAGCTGAGCTAAGATGAAATAAGCTAAGCTAAGATGGGATAAGCAACGCTAAGCTAAGGGGACGCAACTGGGGGAACCGCGGGGCGGATCCTGGGGGAACCGCCCGGGGCGCATTACATTGCGCGGCCCTTTAAGCCCAGAGGGTAAGGACCCTTCTAGGCAGAGCCTAGGTAGGGGATCAGGATACAGGAGTAGATAGAAGGAGAGACGGAAAGACGTATTTGAAGAGAGGGAGAGCGAGAGAGGGAGGGCGAGCGAGAGAGAGAGAGAGGTAGAAAACGAGAGATAGAGGGAGAGAGAGAGGGAGAGAGAGAGAGGGAAACAGATGAATAGAGAGAGGAAGCAGCACGAGAAATGGAGATACGAAGAGAAGGAGGGAAGACAATGATGGAAGGAGAGGGAGGGGTACAGATGGGAGCGGACGGAGATGGAGAGGGAGGGATGAGGGGGGTGGGTCAGAAGACCTCGTCCCTGCGCGCGAAGCCGCGGCCGCCAGAAGTGTGTGTGTGTGTGTGTGTTTGTATGTATGTGGCTTGTGTCACGGTTTGTGACGTGTTGGGTCCGTTTGTCTCTACGTTGCCCTCCTTTTGGAGCCCTGCGTAGTAAGGGGTCATGGCCCGTGCTTGAACACCCGCTCTCTCTTTGTCCTCGGTCGGAAGTTTGCTTTTCCCATGCACGGTCTGCGCTCGGGGTCGGTTACGGCAACACCTCTCTGTGAAAAGCGGTTTGGGCTTGAGCCAACATGGTTACAGATGCTCACCACCCACCAAACCACCCCAACCCAACCCGAAGGCTCAGATTTACCCTCGATTTCCGGTGGGGGGGGGTCGGGAAACATCGAAACAACACATGTGGAACCCTTACCCCCCCAACCCGAAATTCGGGTCTTCGGGTTGGGTTGGGGTGGTCTGGTAGGTAGTCAGGTACACAGCATGCTGCGGTGAGCGCCGACTGGCGCCACCAGACCGGCCTCGAGACAGACGCGGGACGATTGCGGCTCCCCGGAGTGCAGCAGTAAGACAGGGCTAGGATCGGGATAAATCGCTCCAGAGCGTTCCGTAGCGCTCTCAGAGAGCTTGTTTTTTTTTAGACTCTGGCAAGTTTACTTGCATGGACGAGGGGGGGGGGGGGCTGACAAGCAAGCAAAGCCAGAGGGGGGGGGGGGGCCGGAAATCACTCAAGTCGAAAGGCGCTGCACCTCGTATTCGCTGAAAGAGGACGGAGGGGGGGGGGGGGGGGGGGGGGGGGGGGGGGGGGGGGGGGGTGGGGGGGGGGGGGGGGGTGGGGGGGGGGGGGCGGAAACGCCACATGCAAGTAAACTTGCCTGAATCCAAAAAAAAGCAAGCTCAGAGCGTTCGGGAACGCTCTGGAGCGGCCGCGGCGCCCAACACATCCTCCAAACCCGCCGATTCTCAGAGATTTCGAGTTATCCCGATCCGAGTTTGTCCCGATCTTCGCGTCGTTTTAAGCAGACGGCGAGGCCACAGCCCGCGGGACGACTCGAGGCGCCACGGGAAGCGCAGACGGCGAGGCCACAGCCCAGGGGAACGCCCAGAGGAGCGCAAGCCTAATTTCTGGACGCCCGAAATGGATACCGAAAGAATGTGTACAATGCCCAACAGCAGTTCCTGTTCATTTTGAACAGGCCTCGCTGTCGACGCCGCTGCGGCCTGTGTCCATTTGAGACTGGAGGCCGCCTGCCCAACAGCGGCCGCTGTTGGTTTGGGACAACATTGTTGTTGGGCATCATACCCATTTTTTCGGTACCCATGTCGGGCGTCCAAATAATTGTCGAGCGCGATGCGTAGCTGTCCCCGCCGCGTGGCCGACGCAGGCGGGCGCAAGCCTAAGTGGGGTCAGCCGGCACACTGGGGACCGGCCACCCAGCTGTGGCTCGTGCTCACGGAGACAATAGATCGCACTCTATATTGGTTGCATCCCGTATACTGGGAAACACGGATACCGCCACACATTCAACATGCCAAGTGCTTATGAGGACACGCTGTCCCACGCGATTCTGCGCCCCTCCGGGACCTGCATCGACCTCTTCACATGTGCGCGTGCGTGTGCGATCTCCCCAGCGGCGCTGAGCAGGGAGGCAAAGGGCGGGTGGGATGGAAGCCAGACGACTGTGCAGGATCGCAGGGCGGGGTTGTGCGGCCCCGCGCGCGCCCTGCCCTCAGGACCTGCAGCCGATGCACCCAGACGTAAGGAAGGCCAGCCCCGCCCTGGGGGCCCCCCCCGAGCCCGCTTGATTCACGGTGCAGCGAGCTCGCCGCAAGCATCCTTTCTTCTCCTCCTTCTCCTCCTTTTCCTCCTCCTCCTCCTCCTCCTCATCCTCCGCCTTCTCCCCTCCTCCTCCTCCTCCCCCTCTCCCTCCTCCTCATTCTCCTCTCTCTCTCTCCTCCTCGTCCTTCCCCTCTTCCTTCTCCTCCTCCCCGTTCGTGGCCATGTTGACTCAAGGTTGCCTGCTGCGAATGTTTTCCAAAACTATTCACGCCCCGATGGGTGTTTTTCTCCTCGCTGCCCACGTCAAGGGACAAGACCACCCAGTTTTTGAGCGTCGTGCGCAACACGCTGCTCGTGGTCTCCGCCTTCACCACGATTCCGCAGATCTTCATCAGCTCTGGCATCGGGACATTGTCGAGGACGCTTCTAAGTCTGGCCGCGTTCGCCGCAGCAGGGCCTCTTCATGCAGGACACCACCAAGAGCCGCAACGCCAGCTCGCACAAGGCCTGGACCTCCACCGTGAAGTTCATGTTCAACATAGGGGGCACATGCGAACCCGACCCTTAGGACGACTGGTGAGGAAGAGGAGGAGGAGGAGCAGGAGGAGGAGGAGGAGGAGGACGAGGAGGAGGAGGCGGAGGAGGGAGACGACGACGGCGCCCTTCCAGTGCCCGATTCGGGCACCCGGTGCGCTCGGACGCGGGGCGTCGGCTGAGGGGTGCGCAGCCAGAGGCCTTCTGCGAGAAAACGTGAGCAAGGGACCCCTGCGAAGACGAGGAGGAGGAGGAGGAGGAGGAGGAGGAGGAGGAAGAGGAGGAGGAAGAGGAGGAGGAAGAGGAGGAGGACGGAAAAGGAGGAGGAGGAAAGGAGGAAAAGTAGGGAGGAAGAGGAGGAGGAAGAGGAGGGGAGGAAGGAGAGAGGGGGGCAGGAAGAGGGGGAGCACGCCGACGAGGGGGGAGGGAACGACGAGGAGACGGACGCGGGGGACGAGGAGGAGGTAGGGAGGAGGAGGAAGGAGCCGAGAGGAGGAAGACGACCAGGAGGGGGAGGAAGGAGGAGGACGAGGAACCTGGCCCCCCTTGGGATGGAGGACAAAAAAAGAGAACAAAGAGACGTTATAAAAATGCAGAGAGGGAACCGAAAATGATCGGGGCTGGCCGAGACGGAGGTGATGACAAGGGGGTGGGATATCGTGACCAGGGCCATGATGTCTCCCAGACTCATTCACTCAACGCGACCCCCGGTGCCCCCCTTTGGCCGCGCACAAGTTCCAGCCGCGATTTGCGAACCATCTTCTTGGACGCCCCCCCATCGTTAGGGTCCGCGTCGGTCCGATCGATCCGATTCGATGCCGCTTCTGGCCTGGCCGATCCGGTTCGGTTCCGTTTTTCCGGCGATCCGATGCGGCCATATGTTTGCAGTGCGTTGTTGTGTTTCTTGTCTTGGCGCAGGCACAGGCGTTGCTGCTGCTTTTCCGATGCAACCCGATCCGATGAACATTCCGATCTGGTCCGAGCTATCGGTTTGATGCTGGTTGATCCTGCCTCCACGACGCCCCCGAGAGTGAGGAGTTTGAAGAGGCCCAGCGGGGCTGGCGGGGTGGGCGCGCGCGCCAGGCAGATTTCCTGCAGTTGCCAGTGGTCGACGCAGAGCCTGGCGCTGAAGGAGGCGACGCGCTCCCGCTGCTTTTTCCCCGGGCCGGTCCAGGCAGTGGCGAGGAGGAGGGGGAGCACGTTTTTTTCAGCAGTGGCGAAGCGTCCTGGCCTTAAGTCGGGAATGTCCATCTAAAGGAGGAATACTTGAACATACTAAACAATAGTCTGGGGACGATATTTGTTTACAATGTTTCACCGTTGGGGGCATGATTCCAGTATTTGTTTATTTGTCGTCCAGAGTCCGCCTGTCGGAGGACGAGCCCGACCGAATCCTGCTTATTCCAGCCAAAGGATATTATCATAACCTTGTGTTGTCTGTGCGAAAGGTTATCCGGAAATGTTTGGCGCCGAAGCTGCCTTGTGTAACTGCATCTGTTCGATGCTCATAGAGCATCGCCTATGTTTTCAGGACATCCTTTCATTCCGAAAGAATTTCGTGGTAGGCCTCACTACCCACCAAATCACCCCAAATCAACCCGGAGGCTCAAATTTGCCTTCCACCTATGTTGAAAAACACACGAACATATGTAACCCGTACCCCACACACAACCCAGCCCGAAGTTTGGGCCTCCAGATTAAGTTGGTGTGGTCTGGTAGGTACACTCAACGCGCCTAGTCAGGACGCGCGCCTTCATCTAGGGTGCCCTTGTGTCCTGGCTTTTGCGGCCCGTCCTTTGCCGTTTACCGTGGTCCCTCGCCGCCCCAAACATCCCAACTTCGGCCCGCAAGTGTCTTGCACCCTTCCCTGCTCAAGTGCAGCACTAGCGTTGCAGAGATGGGGCCCTGGGGGGAAGCGGCCCCGAGGAAATAAAGCCACAAACTGTGCAAGCCCAGCCTGCGATCTCCCCCTCCCCTCAGGGTCTCCTCCGCCCTCTGCTCCTCGTTTCCCTTCTCCTCCTACACCGCCGCCCTATCCTCCTCCCTCCTCCTGTCCTCCTTCCTCCTCACTTTCCTCCTCCCACGGCCCTCCCTTCTCCTCCTCCTCCTCCTCCCTCCTCCTCCTCCTCCTCCCTCCTCCTCCTCCTCCTCCTCCTCCTCCTCCTCCTCCTCCTCCTCCTCCTCCTCCTCTCTCCTCCTCCTCCTCCTCCTCCTCCACCTCCTCCTCCTCCTCCTCCCCCTCTTCCTCCTCCTCCCCACACTCCAAACTCTCCTCCTCCTCCTCCCTCCTCCTCCCCGCTCCTACCTCCTCCTCCTCCTCCTCCTCCTCCTCCTCCTCGTCCTCCTCCTCCTCCTTCCGTCCGCCTCTCCTCGCTCCTCGCTCCACCTCCTCCTCCTCCTCCTCCTCCCCCCCCTCCTTTCCCTCCTCCTCCTCCCTCCTCCTCCTCCTCCTCCTCTCCTCCCTCCCCCTCTCCTCCCTCCTCCCTCCTCCGTCCCTCAGGTGCGGGCTGGTCAAGGGGTCTGGGTGCGCTCCCAGGGAACGCGGGCCCCCCATCGGCCGCACCCATCGCGCCGCGCGGCCGCCATAGCAGCACCCGTGCGACCGAGCAGCACGTCGCGCTCGCGGCGAGCCAGGGCTCGCTCGCCCGCGCGGCACCGGCGTCATCGATCACGTCGTGCCCAAGCCAGAGTTTTCGTTCGGGTCGCCTCCGCACGCCGTCTGCGCCTAGCCCACCGCAGCTCGCCTGGCGATGGGGGGAAACCAGACAGCGGGGCCCCGCGTTGGGCCACTGGCGGAAAGCACGGGGACCAGCTCGCAGTCGTCGCCCTCCCCGGGGCCTCAGAGGCAGGATTCGTCGTGTGGCACTTTCCATTGGCAGTCGGCCAGGGTGTGTGCTTGGTGTTCCCCGCCACAGGCGTCAGGGAGTCGATGATCTCGAGATCGCTCGCAGCAGCCCGAAGGTCGTCGTCTCCGCCATGCGGCTCAGGATCCTCATGGTGGACGTCCTCTGCAGCAGCAGCAGCAGTCTGCCAATCGGCCCGGACAGGGTCCAGCACAGCTGGTTTCTCGCCAGGCGTCCCCCCGCGTCCTTGGAGCGGGCGATGACGCACGATGCATGGGATCGACCCACCTGCGGAGCACAAGGAGCTTCCAGCCTTTCGCGCCCAGCTCTGTACCGACCTGGTGGCGCTGGAGACCCATATCAAGAGCACCAGAACCACGGCCGCCGACAAGGGTCGGATCTCCCGGACTGGAGGACGAGTAATGCTGTGTTTTTTCTTCGGCATGCTTTCAGGCTCGGCAGAGCCCGTAGCGTCAACCTCCCTCCTCCTTCTCATCCTCTTCATCTGATTTACTTCAGATAAGCCTGAGCGTGAAGCTGTGGCGTTAGGGGTGGCGGAAAGAAAAAACGACCCGGGTCAGGGACACCTGGCGCGCGCCGCGGATCATGTGGTAACACGAGCATTGGAGGAGATTATTAGTGAGAGTAGGCGCCCGCCAGGTGTGACGACAATCACCTTAGTAGGAACACAATACCAACATAAGGCAACATAAACCTTAGATTTAATGGTGCCGTCGCGGTTCAGCATTGAACGTTCGTCAGGCAATCAAAAGTCGAGGTTGCTGCCCTGGATTGTATGACATGTCCCCCCACTCCGATCCTGTATAACCCATCCCCCCCAGTCCATTTAGGTGTACGGGCTGTAGAGCCAAGCTGAGGAATGAGGTACAGTAGGTGACGCATAATAAGTGGTGTTGCAAGGGACGGTATGTAGCGTGTGCTCCAGAACTGGTGCGTGGGCAGACTGCTCACGTGTCCACGGTTGTGGAGCAAAAAGGATAGGTTGTATGCACTTCCCGTCTGTCAGTACGTAGCACCCCGCAGATGCGGATAAGAGTGAGGGGGCGGTGGGGACGTCGGCAGTCTGCGAGACTCTGGGGAAGCCCGCCGCAGGCGCCAAAGTTTCACACACTATTCAACGAGCCCGCCGCAGGCGCCGATTTTTTCGTTAAGCCAATGTGGGTAGGTCAAGGGTGGGTCGCGGGTTGGGTCGCGGCTGGGTCGTGGGTGGGTCGCGGGGTGGTTCGCGGGGTTGGTCGCGGGCTTGGTCGCGGGTGGGTCGCGGGGTGGGTCGCGGATGGGTCGCAAGTGGGTCGCGGGTGGGTCGCGGGTGGGTCGCGGGGTGGGTCGCAGGGTGGGTCGCAAGTGGGTCGCGGGGTGGGTCGCGGGTGGGTCGCGGGTGGTTCGCGGGTGGGCCGCGGGGTGGGTCGCGGGTGGGTCGCAAGTGGGTCGCAGGTGGGTCGCGGGGTGGTTCGCGGGGTGGTTCGCGGGGTTGGTCGTGGGGTGGGTCGTTGGTGGGTCGCGGGAGGGACGATGACAAGAAACAGCAACAACAACGACGACAACAACAACGCAACAAGCAGAATCCGCACCACGGCATTAAAGTCACGCACCCAGGGACAATGAATAACCGTTCGGCCCCCTCACTCTGATAAATGCACACTGCTGGTGCAGTAAAAAGGTTGCAAACGAGAAAATAACGCTGGCTGTAATATTCGCCGTGGTGGGGTGAGGGGAGGAATCATACATATATATATATATATATATATATAGTACAGATCAAGAGGAGATGAGAAGAGAAGTTATGTAAGGGCAGATGGTCCGCCGTATGGTTCTTGGGCCGTCCCCCAGGGTTGTGCGGTTCACCCGAAACCTCTTTGGTCCCAGGACGTCCGTGTTTGTTGTCAGTTTTTTCTTTGGTTAGGCACGAACCTTTGGTGATCAAGTCTGCTTAGGCTGGCCTGACAGGCGTGTCTGTCTTAGATGGCAGCAGCTGTGGCAGAGGCTGATGTGGCGCAACATGTATGGCAGGACTCTCCTGTTTCTCCGTCTGCCATCGGCGTGCAAGGGTAGGGCATAGAAAAGAACAGCGTGTAGCTCTGCCTGCACAGAGTCGTGGCCTGATCAGATACAGGCTTGTGTACCTCTCCGCGCCACTAAACCTGTCCCACTCAGTCCCACCCCGTCATAGGCGCCGTCTGGTGGCACTGTAAACAGACTGCCGATGAGATTGCCTGTGAAGAGCGTGCCCGTGCTTGCGGTGGTATCAAGTGGGGTCTCGCCTTGGGTGGGGACTCCAAATGTAAGCACTGTGTGCTGGTGCGCAAAAGCAGGTAAGAATGGAGCGCGTCTTATAGGCCGGCCTTTGTAGGCTGGGCTATTGGCATGGCAGTAAAGTAGTGCCCGAGCTGTGGGCGGGGGCTTCTGGTTGACACCCCCTCTTCCTCCTCCCCCTCCTCCTCCTCCTCCTCCTCCTCCTCCTCCTCATCCTCATCCTCCTCCTCCTCCTCCTCCTCCTCCTCCCCCCTCCCCCCCCTTCGCACGACTGTGCTTGGTCAAATGGTCTTGGTCAAATGGTCCAGATGGTCCCTCCTCCCCCCGCCTCCCTCCTCCCTCCTCCCTTTCCCCTCCTCCCTCCCCCCCTCCTTCCCCCTTCACCCGTTCCTCCGTACCCTGCGGGCCGCAGATTTTGACCCAGACCGAGGGGCAAATCGGCACCCGCCTGCCGTGCTCGGCGGAGGAGGAGGAGGAATCTGGAGGCGGAGAGGGAGGAGGAGGAGGAGGAGGAAAAGGAGGAGGAGGAGGAGGAGGAGGAGGTGGAGGAGGGGGAGGGGGAGGAGGGGGAGTTGGGGGAGGAAGGAGGAGGAGGGGGGAGGAGGAGGAGGAGGAGGAGGAGGAGGGGAGGAGGAGGAGGAGGAGGAGGAGGAGGAGGAGGAGGAGAAGTGGAGGAGGAGGAGGAGGAGGCGGAGGGGGGAGGGGAGGGGAGGAGGAGGAGGAGGAGGAGGAGGAGGAGGAGGAGGAGGAGGAGGAGGAAGAAGACGAGAGGAGGAGGAGGCGGAGGAGGCGGAGGAGGAGGAGGAGGAGGAGGAGGAGGAGGAGGAGGAGGAGGAGGAGGGGAGTTGGGGGAGGAAGGAGGAGGAGGGGGAGGAGGAGGAGGAGGAGGAGGAGGAGGAGGAGGAGGAGGAGGAGGAGGAATACTTTGAGGAGGAGGCGGAGGAGGCGGAGGAGGAGGAGGAGGAGGAGGAGGAAGGACGGGAGGCGGAGGAGGAGGAGGAGGTGGAGGAGGAGGAGG